TCAGGTTTACAGATGTTACTGAACTTATGTAGCAATCACAATATTATATAGATGGAGAATGTCGCAATAAAAGGGAGAGGCGGAAATGACGTACAACATAAAAACTGGAAAGGAAAAATACTAAGGATATGGATTACAATAATTCGTCACGGCGGTTTAGGCCATGAGGTTGAAGAGTCATGGCCTTATCTATAAAATGCGACTCCCTGGCCTTACGAACTGAGTCACGTCAAGAATGAATTTTTTCTAGTGAGATTAACTGCATGTCGGTATGAGAATGGTTAGAGTGAGAGAGAAAGTGTTCAGAAACAGTAGTGGGTTTAGATTTAATGTTAGTTTTGTCGACTGAACGTCTGTGTTCGTTAAATCTGTCCTTGAGACGTCGCTTAGTTTCACCTATATATTGTAAATTACAACGGTTACATTGAACCATGTAGATAACATTTTTAGTGTCACAAGTAAGGTGTGAAGTGATGGAGCGTGTTTCACCTGTAGCGTAAAAGGTATAACTTGTTAGGCCGTTAGTAATGTATGGACAAGTGGCACAATTCTGTCCACAGCGGAAGGAGCCCGGCGGAAAATGATTGGGGGAGATAACGGGTAGTTGTGCTTTAACTAAAAGGTCACGAAGATTAGAGCTACGTCTGTAAGCAACAAAAGGCGGTTGCTTAAAGACGCCTTTGCAACGGTTAGAGGAGTGTAAGATGTTGAAATGTTTGCGCAGGATATTAGAAATGCGTGGAAGTGCTGGGTTATATGTGACAACAAATGGTACAACATCGTTAGAAGCTTTGGGTTTAGTCTGTAACGCGTTAGTACGAGAAATATTAGCAGCGCGTAGGAACTGTTTTTCTAGGAAATTATTATTATAACCACGAGCAAGGAGATATGTTTTAAGTTCATTAATGCGATGTTAAAACTTAGCGTCTGTAGAGCAGATGGGGCGGAGGCGGAGGGCTAAGCTGAACGGAATGGCTTTCTTAGTGTGGTGAGGATGGCATGATGAGCTGAGAAGGTGCTGATGTTTATCCGTGGGTTTAGTAAATAGATCAGTTTCAATTATACCGTTATGTAGAGAAACCATGACGTCGAGAAAAGGAACGTTAGTAAGTGAGTGAAAGCTAGTGAACTTAATAGTGGGATGAATGTTGTTGAGATAATCGACGAATATTTTCAAACGATCTGAACCTTCTGTCCAGATCATGAAAATATCATCGATATATCTCCACCATGTGTGAGGCTGCCAAGGGGCGTTAGTGAGAGCGTTGGTTTCGAACATACCAAGAAAAAGGTTAGCAAAAGAAGGAGCCATTTTAGTACCCATAGCAGTACCATGGATTTGAAGATAATGCTGTTGGTTAAATGTGAAATTATTCATGGTAAGAATCATGCGTAGGAGATCACATAGTGTCTCTGTGGGGATGTGTTTGTTAGGGCGGGTATCAAGAAAATGACGGCATGCGTCAATTCCTTGATTGTGTGGAATGTTGGTGTAGAGCGATGACACATCAAGAGTTACAAGAATAGCGTTGTTAGGTAGGTTACCGAGGTTAGAAAGTTTATAAAGGAAGTCAGTAGTGTCTTTAATGTGTGAATCCAATGTAGAGACGAGAGGGTTAATGTAGTAGTCAACAAATTGTGAGATGCGTTCAGTAGGGTGGCTGTTAGATGAAACTATGGGGCGTCCAGGATTTCCAGTTTTATGTATTTTAGGTAGTATGTAAAAACGTCCTGGTTCCACGTTTGTTTGTACTAGGTACTTTAACGTCTTTTCGTCAATGTAACCGTCGTTAAACATACGTTCAATGTAGACCGTAACACGCTGTTGAATAGTATCAGTAATGTCCCCGTCCAGTTGTCTGTAGAATTTAGCGTCATTTAACTGTCGGTTGCATTCGTCTATGTACCACGATTTGTCCATAACAACCGTTCCCGAGACTTTGTCAGCTGGTTTGATTATTATGTCTTGTCTCGTCTTGAGGTTGCGTAATGCTTCTCGTTCCTCTTTTCTCAAGTTGTCGGTGATGTGATTACGATTAACTGTAAAGATGTTATAAAAAACATTACACGTTGTTTTAAATCAGCTTTGCTGTAGTCTTCGGACTTCTCGTTCTTGTTCTTTATATTTTGGCTGATTTGATCTCTTCTCTAGAGATCCAACGTTTACAACTAGCAGGATCTTCGTCCACGGTTTTTGCAGTTAATTTAATCCTTTATAATTTAATTACCTAATCAATCGGAATTTTTGACTAAGGGACTGTTTTCGTTTTTTAAACATTAGATGGGCATATTTGGCCATAATATGTGAAGTTTTGTCATTGTCCAGTCTGAGTAAATATAACGTTCTATCATGATCTGTTAAGTTGATGAAGGTTGCATCATTTTCAGAAATATGAAAATAAAGTTGCTGTCTAAGACTCTCGATTCAGTACAATCAATTAAGAAGTGTTTCTCGTCGTCTATGCAGTTTCTTTTGCAAACCAAACAAAGCCTTTCCTCTACTGGTATAGAAGCTCCTTTATTTTCATATTTCCCTGTTTGTATGAACTCCCAATCGCAGTTTAGTCATACCAGGTGATGGGCTCCTGGTCATACTGATTCTATGAGCTGGATTTCTAACTATCTTTAAGGTATTCTTCTAAGCGATAATCTTTTTTAATTTCCTTGTTTGTATATTTTTGTCTAGAGCTATCTGAAATGTAGTTTTGAGCTTTTAATATATATGTCATATGTGGCAGTACCATCACTCACCCCACCCCGCCTCCCCCGTCCGGCGCGGGGATGGAAACTCTGAAAACGGAAAACGGCCAATTCACGAGGAGAAAAACCTGGGTACAAGTCATTTGGAAGGCCCGCGGAGGTCGGTACTTCATGTAAGCCTTACGTATAATGTCCTGAGACATATAAGGCCCCACATGTGGAAGTTGTGATACACTACTATTACACTGATTATAGTTAGTTACCGTTGTTAATGCAGTTCCTGTAGTTGTTGAAGTTGTGTAGTTGCTGTAGTTGTGTAGTTGCTGTAGTTGTGTAGTTATTGTAGTTGTTGTAGTTCCTGAAGTTGTGTAGTTCCTGTAGTTGTGTAGTTATTGTAGTTGTCGTAGTTGCTGTAGTTCCTGTAGTTGCTGTAGTTGTTGTAGTTACTGTAGTTTCTGTAGTTGTTGTAGTTCCTGTAGTTGTGTAGTTATTGTAGTTGCTGTAGTTGCTGTAGTTGCTGTAGTTGCTGTAGTTGTGTAGTTGCTGTAGTTGCTGTAGTTGCTGTAGTTGTGTAGTTATTGTAGTTGTTGTAGTTGCTGTAGTTGCTGTAGTTGTTGTAGTTACTGTAGTTTCTGTAGTTGTTGTAGTTCCTGTAGTTGTGTAGTTATTGTAGTTGCTGTAGTTGCTGTAGTTGTGTAGTTGCTGTAGTTGCTGTAGTTGTTGTAGTTGTGTAGTTATTGTAGTTATTGTAGTTGTTGTAGTTCCTGTAGTTGCTGTAGTTGTTGTAGTTCCTGTAGTTTCTGTAGTTGTTGTAGTTCCTGTAGTTGTGTAGTTATTGTAGTTCCTGTAGTTCCTGTAGTTGCTGTAGTTGTTGTAGTTACTGTAGTTTCTGTAGTTGTTGTAGTTCCTGTAGTTGCTGTAGTTGTTGTAGTTACTGTAGTTTCTGTAGTTGTTGTAGTTCCTGTAGTTGTGTAGTTATTGTAGTTGCTGTAGTTATTGTAGTTGCTGTAGTTGCTGTAGTTGCTGTAGTTGTGTAGTTGCTGTAGTTGCTGTAGTTGTGTAGTTATTGTAGTTATTGTAGTTGTTGTAGTTCCTGTAGTTGTGTAGTTCCTATAGTTGTGTAGTTGTGTAGTTCCTGTAGTTGTGTAGTTATTGTAGTTGTTGTAGTTCCTGTAGTTGCTGTAGTTGTTGTAGTTCCTGTAGTTGTGTAGTTATTGTAGTTGTTGTAGTTCCTGTAGTTGCTGTAGTTGTTGTAGTTACTGTAGTTTCTGTAGTTGTTGTAGTTCCTGTAGTTGTGTAGTTATTGTAGTTGCTGTAGTTGTGTAGTTGCTGTAGTTGCTGTAGTTGTGTAGTTATTGTAGTTATTGTAGTTATTGTAGTTGCTGTAGTTGCTGTAGTTGCTGTAGTTGTTGTAGTTACTGTAGTTTCTGTAGTTGTTGTAGTTCCTGTAGTTGTGTAGTTATTGTAGTTGCTGTAGTTGCTGTAGTTGTGTACTTATTGTAGTTATTGTAGTTGTTGTAGTTCCTGTAGTTGTGTAGTTATTGTAGTTGTTGTAGTTGTTGTAGTTCCTGTAGTTGCTGTAGTTGTTGTAGTTACTGTAGTTTCTGTAGTTGTTGTAGTTGCTGTAGTTGTGTAGTTATTGTAGTTGCTGTAGTTGTTGTAGTTGCTGTAGTTGCTGTAGTTGCTGTAGTTGCTGTAGTTGCTGTAGTTGTGTAGTTATTGTAGTTATTGTAGTTGTTGTAGTTCCTGTAGTTGTGTAGTTCCTGTAGTTGTGTAGTTCCTGTAGTTGTGTAGTTCCTGTAGTTGTGTAGTTGTTGTAGTTCCTGTAGTTGTGTAGTTATTGTAGTTGCTGTAGTTGCTGTAGTTGCTGTAGTTGTGTAGTTGCTGTAGTTGCTGTAGTTGTGTAGTTATTGTAGTTATTGTAGTTGTTGTAGTTCCTGTAGTTGTGTAGTTGTGTAGTTCCTGTAGTTGTGTAGTTATTGTAGTTGTTGTAGTTGTTGTAGTTGTTGTAGTTGCTGTAGTTGCTGTAGTTGTTGTAGTTACTGTAGTTTCTGTAGTTGTTGTAGTTCCTGTAGTTGTGTAGTTATTGTAGTTGCTGTAGTTGTTGTAGTTGCTGTAGTTGCTGTAGTTGTGTAGTTGCTGTAGTTGCTGTAGTTGTGTAGTTATTGTACTTATTGTAGTTGCTGTAGTTTCTGTAGTTGCTGTAGTTGCTGTAGTTGTGTAGTTATTGTAGTTGCTGTAGTTGTTGTAGTTGCTGTAGTTTCTGTAGTTGTTGTAGTTGCTGTAGTTTCTGTAGTTGTTGTAGTTGCTGTAGTTGCTGTAGTTGTGTAGTTCCTGTAGTTGTGTAGTTATTGTAGTTGCTGTAGTTGTGTAGTTCCTGTAGTTGTGTAGTTATTGTAGTTGCTGTAGTTTCTGTAGTCGTTGTAGTTGCTGTAGTTGTGTAGTTGCTGTAGTTGTTGTAGTTGTTGTAGTTGCTCTAGTTGTTGAAGTTCCTGTAGTTGTGTAGTTATTGTAGTTACTGTAGTTGTTGTACTTGCTGTAGTTGCGTAGTTGCTGTAGTTGTGTAGTTCCTGTAGTTGTGTAGTTCCTGTAGTTGTGTAGGTATTGTAGTCGTCGTAGTTGCTGTAGTTGCTGTAGTTGTGGTAGTTATTGTAGTTGCTGTAGTTGTGTAGTTATGGTGGTTGCTGTAGTTGTGTAGTTGCTGTAGTTGTGTAGTTCCTGTAGTTGTTGTAGTTGTGTAGTTGCCGTGGTTGTTTAGCTGCTGTAGTTTTTCTAGTTCCTGCAGTTGTTGTAGTTGTTGTACTTATGTGGCCTTTGTAGTTGTGTAGTTGTTGTAGTTGATGTAGTTACTGTAATTAATTTAGTTTTCTTAGTGATTGTGGTTGCTTTGATTTCCTTCGCGTTTATTTCTATTATTTCCCCCTCCAGTTAACCCGAATTAATCAACGCTCTTCTGGACTCCGAATAATCTTGTTTTTCCAACTCAACAGGCTGGTTTCACGTTTATGGACGATATGTTGGGCGTATTTATATTCTTTGTTTTTTTAACCTATTACCTCGGTTGAAAGGAACTTGTTTTTTAAGTGTAGCATTTTTTTATATTGGCCCGGTGTCCCGGTGTATAAATTTGATTAAGAGACACAGATGGTTTTTAAAAAAGCACAGCACAGCACAGGTTCGGTAAGAAACGTTTAATAGATGCATTCTACATACTATATACATAACATTGCATAAAGGACACTATATTTAGTTACAAGTCCCCTGAGATTAACGAACGAAAATATTTGTGTATTTGCAACTTCATAGTTTTTACTTCTTCCCCAGAGCACTAATGACAGTCTGCCTATTCTTTAGTTGTGTTACTTTTCTTAAAAGTTGCATTTGATTTTTTGATCTGATTGGAAAATTTCCTTTTTTAGTGAGATGGGAGTTGGCAACATAGTTATAGAGGGACATTATGCCTTCCAGTGTACTGTCAACTACCGTTGCCTCAATTAGCTGCATGGTACTAAAGAGAAGGCATGTTTCATGAGTAGTCCATGGTCCGGCTGACGGGTTTGTACTATTAGATGCGAGATACTCCGCACTCCGCCTCTTCTTGAATGGTACAGGACTTTCACGCTTTCTCTTTGCTGGGATTTTCACTAAATCGGTAACTTTATCCGGCTTGTTGTCACAATTCCCACAGTTCCTGCATGAGCATTTCAGCCCACAACATGCTCTTGCGCGTACACATGGACATTTGGTTTTTCTTTTCCCATCTACACAAGCGACGTATTCCTGATTTTCTCTGCTTTTATCGACTCCACACCTGCAGGATACGCTGTTAGAGGTTACTTTGCAAAGTTCCTGGCTTTCTTTGTTTCTGCATCCCTTGCATCTACAATCTCGTGTACAGGAAATACGTTCCTCAACACAGGGACAGCGCGTCTTCCCATCCACGCACTGTAATTTTCAGGGAGTTATAATAACTCCTCTAGTGGGGCTAATTTAACTCCTTACAGTGGAGTTATTTTTCGTGGAGTTATTTTAACCCCAAAAAGGAGTTTAAAGAACTCTTTTTCAGGAGTAAAAGTGACCCCAGATATTGAGGAGTTAAAATAACTCCAAAAAAGGAGTTATCCTGTACCTAAAATTTTTACTCCACTTTCAGAGTTATATTAACTCCAAAAAGAGTAAAAACAACCCCTGTAAGGAGTACAAGTAACCCCATTTCGGAGTAATTTTAACTCCAAGACTGGGAGTAAAAAGAACTCTTTTTCAGGAGTAAAAATGACCCCAAATTCGGAGTTAAATTAGGAGTTAAAATAACCCCAAAAAAGGGGTTATCCTGTACCTAAAATTTTTACTCCATTTTTGGAGTTATAATAACTCCCTAAAAATTACGGTGCGGTCGGAATACAAGAGTCCTGATCTTCTTTATTATTCTTGCCACACGAACACACAAAAATCCGTTGATCTTTCAGCTCTTCAGCATTAAGAAATGACTCAGTATCTAACTTTCAGTTAATTTTGCAGATACTAAACTTCTCGATTTTGGCGAGACAGTATGTACGATATTAGTAAAATCCAGCTAGTGGTCTGTTATCAATGGTGCATTCTCATTGGTTGAGCTACTACTAGGCTATATGTTATAGCCCAAAAGTAGCGAAAAGCGCCGGATTTTGGAGGCAAAAAAGTCGACCTATAACTATCTATCGCTAAAGTTGTTTGGTTTCGGGTTTTTTGACCAACTAGTTGAACTTTACTAAAACAATTATTCCTCTCGCCTTCATGGCCTCTGAGTAAATAGCCCATTCGGCCTTCGGGCCTCATGGGCTATTGACTCTGAGCCCATTAGGGCTCGAGGAATAATTGTTAAATATTCTTATAAATTGTGGTATTTTTCGCGGGTTTTTTGAACAGAAAAATAAGAAACCCCCTCAAGGGAATTTACTTTTGATACACGGCGTATTGATAGGATTTCAAATCGCGGGTCTTAAATTTAGGGATTTGTAAGTCTTAAATCCTCCAAATTAAATACAAATAGGATATATATTTTACTATTCTGCGTTTTGAGGATAACCCTCAAAAATTTTACTAATTCTCCTTATGTTGATGGGACTTTTATTTAAGATTTAAAAGCAACTTTTCCCCTAGAATATTATTATTTTTATTATTGATCCTCCCATTAAACTATTTATTTTTGGGGATTTGTGGCTCTGGGGAGCATCAAAGTTTAAAACCTTGCAGATTTTCACTCGTCACAGGGCAACAAGCACACTAACTCTCTTGTTGCCGGGCTTAGCCAAGTTACCTGTATCTTTTTCAGCAGGAAGGGTGCCATCATAGTGCCCTGGACCAAATGCGGTATATGCTATGTAGATGGCATTGGTGATCAGTGCGTCGTCGGGTATGAATGGCACGTAAGGGGAACCATTGATACTGGTCACAACAATTATGGGGACTTGAAGTATGTCAGAGCATACTTTTATAATCAAATCCCCGACTTCACCGCAAAATGTTCCAGGTTCTCTAAATCTTTCAGTCTCAGTGTTCATTTCGTCAGAAGGAATGCCAGTGAGCATTTGATAATGTTCGTTGCTCTGAACATTATTGACAAAAAGTTGACGGAGCTGATTTACATCTTCGTCGGCACTTCTCCCAAGTCCCAGGTACGAAATATGCTGACAAAGTGCTGAATTTGGGTCACTCCATTGGTTTGTCTTTCTCACTTGAGAAATAATTGTTCTAAAGGCACAATCTCCGTCACCGACGACTTCATCCCTTTTGAGACTAAAACAGTCGAGATTTCGCTGCAGTGTTTCTCTGTGTCTTATTTCTGTGTCATCTTCAGCATAGCAGCTATTGACTAAGACTTGTTTACTACCCACTTGCATTATTAGAATATCAAATGCATTAAAACAACGATCCCGACATTCGCTGTTGACTTTACTTAAAATCGAATGCAACTTGGACATGTTTTTCAAAAGCAGACTGGCGATGGACTCGTTAAGAGTGTCCTCGATAGTTTCAATGACTACTACAGCTTCTTCAACAGTTTCGTCTGGGTATACTTTATTTCCCTCGTATGGTGCCTTCCAAGCGTCATCTAACGTGACTTTTCCCCCACTGGTAGTGTTAAAGTGGGGATTTTTATCATTTACGTTCCTCGACGTGAACTGCGAGAAGAGTGGCACGAAGGGAATTACTCTTGAATTCTGCTTATGTTTTTTCGCGCTTTTCCTGCAGTTCATACTATAGAATAATAAAGTTATAATAGCAATTGCTATTTCGGGACCCGTGGTAGTAGCACCGCATAATAATGATTTATTTAATGTGTTATGAAGCCTCTCATTCGATTCCGTTCCTTCACCCGGTTTTAAGCCAGATAAACAACCTTTTTTTATATGCACGCTCAAGTGGTCGAGTTCCAAACGTGCTTTCTTCATTTCTTCCATGTTCAAGAACGATTTCCACCTTTCACGAAAAGAATGCAAATTTTCAATTACCACTTTCCAATCAGGTGTGGGTAGCTGACGGACCTCGTCGCAGTCTCCATTTGCTCGAAATATCAGACCCAATTCTTTTGAAAATCGTTTGGAAAACTCAGATCCCTTTGGTATCTTTTTGATGACTCGTTGAATTGCATGGAATAAGTCTAGTTTTACTTCTACATCTGGAAAAACTGACCTGTAGAGTGTTCTTACTTTGCAACAGTCGTCCACTATTACTGCATCCAAAGTATTACCTATCTGCTCCTTAAGCTCAACGAGTAACGACCTTATTTCTTCAAAGCCCGTGGTTCTCGTTAGACGCCAACTTATAACTTCGTGCCTCTCGTTTAGCACTATAAAAAGATTTTCAAATTGTTTCACAAATTTATCATCGCTACTTCTTCTTGCTCCAATGTATTTACTTATTTTAAACGTATGATGTTATGTCTTTCAAAACAGAAGAAAATCAAGAACAGGAGGAAAACTGTCAAGAATCCCAAGACATGAAAATGGAACTTTCTTTTGAAAAGAGGTAAAAATTATGGAAGCAGCAGTCACATGTTCAATTACGCGCAAAAACGGCACTAAATCAAAGAAATCAACATCATTTTTCCGTCCTTTTTGTTTTATTATAACTATGAAAGGATTATGAATTAAAAGAGTCTTGTTTCCTAGTTATTAAGGACTCAGCCCTTCTTGTCTTGAAGTTCCCACACTCTTGGATCCTGCGGGTAGATTACCCAGAGATTCTAACATGGTTCTAAGCTCAGTTGGTGTAGGTAGTTTTAAGAACAAACTGAGTTATACCTTTTTACTTAACTTGTTCCTTTATCCATCCCTTTCCCTTTTTTCCTTCTCTTTGACAGCGTCGTCTTCTTTCTTTACTGTTTTTTTTCTTTCTCTTATTACTTGATGCCTTATTCCTAAGTATTATCGTTACTCTGCGTTTACCGCTCAGTTAAATCAAGATCAAGTTGATCTTTTGTAATTTAGTAGGGAAAGCCCACTTTGTATGAGCCTCTGATTTCTTTGGTCTTTCTGGCCCTATTCTAACGAATTTCTGTAAAATACTGTCAGGTTGTAAGGTTGCGAAATAAAGAATAATAACAATAAAAATAAAATCTATATCAAGCTTTCCCTTTAGATTACTGGGCCTGTTTTGCTGTTATTCTAAGTAAAATAAAGCTGATTTTAACCCAATGTTGATTTTGTAGACATTTATTTAAAAGGAAGAAAGGATCAGCGTCGAGTAAAAAGTCAGGTAAATGGTCTGAAATGCACTGGGTCTACGGCATAGTAAGTTTGCCGATAGTCCAACACGTTCAGTCCGTCTGCTTCAGACGGATAGAACGACTGAAGATCGTCTCCGGCACAAACGTTGATCTTCACATCCGACGATCGAAACTAATAAGTTCCTTTAAAAATTTGTATGATGATTGATATTTAGCCTCGTTCGGGAGAAAATTTATTACTGATCTGATTACGTTGATTGCTTCGACGCGTCCTAAGTTTGACAGATATTAGAGAGTTTACGCAACGAACGGCAAAAAAGCAATAGGTTTAGACTGGCAAAACAACAACTTTGCACGTGCATCACGCTTTTTTATTACATTTCTCTGCCGTCGTTGCACGACTACAACGTGAAACTGCCTAATTTCACGTTTTGTCGAGGACGGGAGCAAAAGACAACAACTTTCTTTTTCTTTTCCTAAACTTTGACGCAGTCCTTTAGAATTCAACTCCAATCAAATTTGCCAACATTTGACACATTAAACGAGATGGAGTGAGCGCGATAAAGTTTGAGGCAGCGCAAATTCACTTTTTAAGTGACGTTTTCGTAGCCGTCGCCGTCGTCGTTGCGTAAACTCCCTAATCTTAACTTAAGTTCGGTAGACCCAATGATTAGAGTTTGGTGCGTCTCACGAAAGTTTTGACGTTTGTCCTGGGCTTAAATGGTGTAAATACTCTTACTCTCTACAAGATTATACAGCTTAAGTTAATCTAATATGGGAAAACGTTGTTTTTCTTTTAGCCTTCCACCATGAAAAACCAAAAAGGAAAAAGCGTAACCTTAAAGGCAAGAAAAAAAGAGTAACGACGATAGCGGCCCAGGTAATGAGATCAGTACGAAAATAATTTTGAAATTTGAAAATGCTGCGGTAAATTAAGAAATGGTGCATTTCAAATTTGGAGGGGTGGTCTTTTTACTAGGGATTTTACCTTTCGCATAAATATTTTAAATTTGATATGTATTATCTTTGTCACGTGACTTGCCACTTCCATTTTTGACTTTTTATTTCAATCCAAATTTACACCACATTATAAATAACACTTGTAATTTAATTCATTTTTGCCAATGAATATTGACATAAAGTTTGTGGAATTAATCGGGGTTTTCTTAAATTATTTACGTTTTGTGAACTATAACGTTTTTTCTTAAGAGGGAGACTGGGGCGAGAAAAAATATCTAATAATTACGAAGGAATGCATCATTTCACAAATACCCAATTAATGTAGCTTATTTCACTGTAGATTTGATATTATGGAAGGAAAAACGATTGTGATCACATTCATTAAAGTTGTGTAATCTGCAAAGCCTAAATTTTGCATAATTGTGGGCGTGGCTGGTAGAGTTTAAGGTACAAAGTCGTTTTGGTCTTAAACACAGCGGTCTTAGGTTAAAACGAAGAAAGATACTGGAAAAAAGAAGATCAAATCACAGAACCCCGCATGTAACAAGGACCCATGCCTTAATTCACCTGAGTATGTAAAAAAAAATATATGGCAAAGTGGTTAACAGGAATGTTGTAAACGCTTACTGGCCTTTAAAAGAATCAGCTTCTTCTTGATTTTCACGTTGTACTGAGGTTCCCAAGTTACTGATGTAGCATACGCAAGAGGTAAAGTATATAATAATGCACCGTAACTGTTATGATTGTTTCTCACCAGCCAAGAAAAAGCAACCGGGACATTATTTCACTGACGACGATAGTTGGGACTAATCAACTGTTTTACAGATATTAGAAGGTAACACCATTGGCTAGTGATCCACTTAGCATTCGTATGTAGGAGTCCCTCCTCCGTGGGTTCGGTGACGGTTTAAAGCGTTTATAATTAACCGATGACAGTTTTCTGCAAATAACGTATCGAAGGATAATTTCGTCCCTATCATAAGTTTTAGCTTGAGAAAAGGCTAATAAAAAATTTTAGATTCGTCTAACAATTTAACTGCGATTTTCGAGGATTGTCTTTCTTGCATAGTACCAAGATATTGCGGTATTTGAACAACAAGATCCTTGTAAAGAGGAAATGTTCGCCAGAATCTTCTAAGGAAAATTGGGTTACGTAACGCCCGGCCGTATCCTGGAAAGTACGTCTGCATCCGTCAGAATAGCTAACAATAAGTTTCAGATGACACATTTTCGGTCTGCGGCTGCCCATAATATTTTGCGTTAAAAACGGTATCATGAATGTTATACTGACTAATTACCTTTATATCTACACTTTAGGTTCGTATTTGGTGACACTGGCATGATCACGGCGTCTACGAAGTAAAAACGGATAATAAAAAGACTCACCTCGCCGGGACGTTTGTTTTTTACATTTCAATACACGTGTGAATAACATGGGATCGGCGGATAGAGGAAAAAGAAAGCCTAAAAGTTACTGTATAAATGATATTTAGCATTTTATGGCAATACTATTTCCAAAAGAGAGAATCTGACGCTTTCAAATTGTACTTGAAGATAAGCATTGTAAACGCTAGTAAAGTTTGATGGAATAAATGTTGTTGTTCGGACGAAAAAAATGTATACTCTATGTTTTTAGTTCTTGCTTTGGTACCTCTTAAAATAAAACACCTCTTCTTAACCCACTTCAACCGACCAAAATAAATTATATTAGGGAGTAAAGACACGACGTCAAGGCAGTGATTCATACGTGATCAAACGTCGTCGTTGCAAACTTTAAACACACCAGTTTTCAGTTGGACCCCCCTCAATTTTTCAAATGTAGACGACGTTTCTTGGTGTTGAATTCCTAAGGAATTTATCCATGTTCAAAAACCGAGTCGTCGCATGACCAAGCACTCCATAAACCGTCGCCTTAGACGGTTTCACGTCGTAGTCGTGCAATGTCGACGTCAAAAAAATGCCGGCAAGCAAGATGCATGTGCAGAGCCGTAAGATTTGCTGATAAAAACAATTGCTTTTTGACATTGCTGTTGTCGTTAACGTCGTGGTTGTCGAAGCTTAATATTAAGTAGCTACCACGTAGTTTTAATTAGAACTATGAAAAATCAAGCTACATATACAAAAACACTACAAATAAATAAAAAAGAGTTGATACAACAAAAATATCATTGAAAAGCACTGATCACGCAATACAAACTAAGACCTATAAGCTAAGAAACCCCATGAAACCTTAAAGGGGAATTTCCGTTGTTAAGCTTATATCCCTACTGTTCTTTCTTTCAAATCTTGTACGGAAGAGACTTTGGAACACCCTAGTAGATTTCTGAAATAGTTGCCCCTCAAGTTACATTCCGGCAAGTGTAAGCTCACACTTGGGAGATTAACAAATTCTGAGCGAAACGCTCGTCCTTGTTCACCAACAGGACGATTCTCTACCCTATATATAAACAAACCTACATAGCTCTCGACTGACAATCATTACACCCACTACAGCGAATACAACAACTACAGCGACTACACAACTACAGCAACTACACGACTACAGCATCTACAACAAGTACAGCAACTACAGCAACTACTAGAACTACAATAACTACACAACTACAGCAACTACAGGAACTACAGCAACTACGCAAGTACAGCAACTACAGAAACTACAGGAACTACACAACTACAACAACTACAACAACTACAGGAACTACACAACTACGCAACTACAGGAACTACACAACTACAGTAACTACAACAACTACAGTAACTACAAGAACTACAAGAACTACACAACTACAGGAACTACAGGAACTACAGGAACTACAAAACTACAGCAACTACAATAACTACATAACTACAGGAACTACAAGCACTACAGAAACTACAGCAACTACAACAACTACAATAACTACACAACTACGGCAACTACAGCAACTACACAACTACAGCAACTACAGCAATTACAGCAACTACAGGAACTACAACAACTACAACAACTACAGCAACTACAACAACTACAGAAACTACACAACTACAGCAACTACACAACTACAACAACTACAACAACTACACAACTACAACAACTACAGGAACTACACAACTACACAACTACAGGAACTACAACAACTACAGTAACTACAACAACTACGGGAACTACAAGAACTACAGTAACTACAAGAACTACAATAACTACACAACTACAGGAACCACAGGAACTACAAAACTACAGCAACTACAATAACTACAATAACTACACAACTACAGGAACCACAGGAACTACAAGAACTACAGCAACTACAGTAACTACAAAACTACAACAACTACAGTAACTACAAAACTACAACAACAACAACAGCAACTACAGGAACTACAAGAACTACACAACTACAACAACTACAGGAACTACAGGAACTACAACAACTACAGCAACTACAACAACTACAGGAACTACAAGAACTACAGGAACTACAAGAACTACACAACTACAGGAACTACAAGAACTACACAACTACAAGAACTACAGCAACTACAACAACTACAGGAACTACAAGAACTACACAACTACAAGAACTACAGCAACTACAACAACTACAGGAACTACAGGAACTACAGGAACTACAAGAACTACAGCAACTACAACAACTACAGCAACTACAACAACTACAGGAACTACAGGAACTACAAGAACTACAAGAACTACACAACTACAACAACTACAGCAACTACAACAACTACAGAAACTACAGAACTACACAACTACAAGAACTACACAACTACAAGAACTACAGCAACTACAGGAACTACAAGAACTACAAAACTACAACAACTACAGCAACTACAGGAACTACAAGAACTACAGCAACTACAACAACTACAACAACTACAGGAACTACGATAACTACAACAACTACAGCAACTACAGGAACTACAAGAACTACACAACTACAAGAACTACAGCAACTACAACAACTACAGCAACTACAGAAACTACAAGAACTACACAACTACAACAACTACACAACTACACAACTACAGCAACTACAACAACTACAGCAACTACAACAACTACAACAACTACAGGAACTACGATGACTACAACAACTACAGCAACTACAGGAACTACAAGAACTACACAACTACAACAACTACAAGAACTACAGCAACTACAGGAACTACAAGAACTACACAACTACAACAACTACAGCAACTACAACAACTACAACAACTACTGCTACTACAGGAACTACAGGAACTACAACAACTACAGGAACTACGATAACTACAACAACTACAGCAACTACAGCAACTACAACAACTAGAACAACTACAGTAACTACAGGAACTACAAGAACTACACAACTACAACAACTACAGCAACTACAACAACTACAGCTACTACAGGAACCACAACAACTACAGGAACTACGATAACTACAACAACTACAGCAACTACAGCAACTACAACAACTACAGCAACTACAGGAACTACAAGAACTACACAACTACAACAACTACAGCAACTACAACAACTACAGCAACTACAGGAACTACAAGAACTACACAACTACAAGAACTACAGCAACTACAGCAACCACAGGAACTACAGGAGCTACAAGAACTACACAACTACAGGAACTACACAACTCCCGCAACTACAATAACCACAGGATCCACAACAACTACAGTAACTACAGGAACTATGCCACCAACTAAACGTTTACCTTTCGCTAGATCATCTGGCAATACTATATACATATGTCTCAGGACATTATACGTAGGGCTTACATGAAGTAGTAACCCGCGCGGAAGTATTATTGGGAAGAATTCTTGTCAAACGTCAAAGTCGTTGTTGCCGGCCTCGCATGTTAAGAGTTCGGAACCGGCTTCTAAAACGACCTTTCTATACAAAAACGTTTTTTCTGTTGCGAAAAAGTCTCAGCAAAAGTACCAGGATGGCGTCGAAAGAGATGTACTTCGCCTTTGGATCAAACTTGAACCCAGAAAGGATGAAACAACGCAAAGCCTTCTTTACCGCCCGAGTAGGAGCGAAACTTCTTGATCACAAGTTCAGCTTTTCGTTCAAAAGACCTGATGGAACTGGTGCGGGAAATATTAGACCACAAAAAAGCTCCGTTGTTTATGGAGCGTTGTATACCCTCGAAGAAGGTGGCTTAGACAAACTAGATGTGTTTGAATGGGTAGATAGAGGATGTTATCGTCGCCAGAACGTCACGGTGGAGACTTTGGACGGAAAAAGAGTTGAAGCGACGACCTATGTTGTCACCGAAGATTTTTATGAAGAGGGATTACTCCCTCGAAGAGATTATTTAAATCATTGTCTGGCATGCAAAGATGTTGTACCGACCGAATATTATGCCTTTCTTGAATCGTTCAAGGAAATCTGTCACGATTAGACAAGAGCGCATAAGCAAGGGGGAAATTCGTGGCTTCCTTTGTTTGTCCCATGTTATAGACACCGTTTCCATTAAGCTTACAAATAATTTAAGAAGTACTAGTTACTCATAGTTATTTATTTATCTCCTTTTGAATTAATGTTGTGCTAAGAATTCTAAAATGAACTCCATAGTTGGATTCTTCATCACTTAAATTTACACACAGTATTTTTCCAAGCATGTTCAAAGTTTTATTCAGTAATTTGAGTTTACTGTCCTTGCGTCTTACGTGTTGTAATTAGTAAAGTTGTCGAAACACAGTGGACAACCGTGCTTTACTCCTTAAGCCTGGCCTTCGGTAGTGATGCAAGCCAAAGTATTGGCACAAACACAGTGTAGACATCCTTATCCAGGGTTCTCAATAGATTTTTAAGTAGGAGGTGATCACTGATAAAGTAGGAGGCTCTTCAGCAAAGCCAGAGGTGTCAAAACAAAGCAAAGAAAAGCGACTTAAACACAAAGTAAGCGGCTATAAATCCCAAAGTAAGCGGCGATCAATCGCCGGGTGCCGCCTTCTATTGAGAACCCTGTTATCCCCCATGAAACTGTAAACATGTAGGCACAATCAAAATTTTTCTGCATTTACATCTGGGCTGCATATACTTGTGTTGGCTTGCATTTGGTTGCATTGACTTGCACATGCACTTGCAATCAGTTCAAAATGCTTTCTTTGTAGTGTAAAAACCGGGAGGGCTCACCGTAAAGGCCTATTGCATTTAACATCAGTGCCAAAAAAAAAATTCTTCAGATAAGCCATAAAAATTGAGGATTTCTATAGGTGTAGACTGAAAAAAAATATGGAATTCTTTGAGGGTTAAGCTTTGTTTCACCAAATTCTTCAGGAGTAGACCCATATTCTTTAGAGGGTAGACCCATTTTTTATGATGTCATAGAGGGTGAATAGAACTTGAATAGAACAGTTGTTCGAAGGCCGATTAGCGCTTAACGCAGGTTTCTCTTTCTTGTGTTCAAAAGCATTTTCTCGGATAATTTTCTCTCTTATATTTAGAGCTTTCAATCATCAAGTTGTAGACAAAAAGAATTAAAACTGAAATGCTTTTTAAGCTTTCAAATCTGAATTCAAATCTCCTACTAACCCTAGGTTGTCTTAACCCGGCTTTTAACAACTCGGCCCAGGGGTAAGAGAAGATAAGCCCTCAACCTGGGGGTTGGGAGTAAGATGTTAAATGCAATAGCGCATTTTTATGAAACTCCTGGTAATTGTGGTGAAAATTTAAAAGAAAAGTTTCATTGCCATGGAAATTTTTTGGCGAAAAAGGAAATGCTTTCCTTAGTACATTTAAACCTCCTGTTGGTGATGTGAAGACTTAGTGGTCACTTACATGACAGTGGTTGTGGTTTACAAGAAATTAACCACAGGTGGTCTCTTCCAGGAAGAGGTCTGGGCACATTGTACTTAACGGAAGATGATATAATGCATGCAAATTCTAAACTGTACGTGTGTAGTTCCATGTTGTCGCTAAAAGTTCTTATGCTATAAGTACAATGGAACATATAGCGGACATAGAGATCAGACCATGTGTTATCCGGTCGCTTACAAGAGGTTAAAAACAATAGAGAATCATTGCCCCAAAATGTGGTCACAGTCACTTGCAAGAGGTTGTGGTATACAACTGCAATAATACATGGCAGGGCAGGGGGACTGTAGCCCCCCAAACAAAAATTCGGGAGGCAGAGCCCCTCCCCCCCACACACACACACATTTTGGTGCCGAAAAACAACCACAGATGAATTTCACATTGATGAGTTTTACCTGTGTCATGGACAACTCCAGGGCTTTTCTGCCCTAAGATGACTCGAGAACTGCCTAAGAAGTACTGATGAAGCAGGTCTGCCTAATCAAGCTTGGAACAACTGCCTATGGATGCATTGTCACAAATCGATTACAGATGCACTGGACACTGCATGTAAAGATTGGAGAGGGGTTTGCTTGTGCCAACTAAAAATGCTTAAGGTATTTTGGAAAATTTGAGGAGGGATATGCACATGGTGGAAGGTGAGGCCCCAGCGTTTCAAAAGTGTCCCTTTCCCATGTCTAGAGGTGTCCCTTCAATAGAGGAAACAGACACTGGACAAAGATTAAGTGAACATTTTTCCAGGACCAAATTTTGTGTCCCCTGAATGGAGATGTCCCTTAAAATAATAGAGGTGTCCCAAAGGAGAGGTTCCACTGTAATGACATATAGTGCACAAGAAAAATTCTAGGAAGTCCAATGCTCTGATCTTGTGAAATCAAGGAAGCCCATCATATGATTTTTATGTAAAAACTGAGGTTTCACAGTTGACCACAAGCAAAAGTAAGGGGCAAGGGCCACCAGATTAGCCTCCCATGCAGGCGTTTTTAGGGAGCTTGTATTTCTTCCCTCCCCACACCTGCTCAACAGAAAACAACATCCCTTTCCCAAGCTTAGCCAATCACATTGTACTTTCCAAATTCTGGAAAGTTGACCATGACCGCAGGGTAACCTGCACATCCCACAGGTTGGGATAGGTCACCGTGCTATTGACAGCTAGCTAGCCAATTACCAATGAAATAGTTCTTCTATGAAAACAACATTTAGTTAGGGATTAAGGCCAGGAGATGCTTCTAGTCCCATTTATTTTTTACCTGTATTCTGGCCTGTGGAATGTGACCTGTAAACAGACCGTCTTACCTAGGGGATGCTCCCTGTGATGGCCCTTGTTGGAAGGCTCCGCCCAAAAGGGGTACCTACCTCATGCTACCTGGTATTTCGAGCTTCAACTGTAAAAAAGAATAGGGATTTCTTGAGTTAAATGTGCATGAAAGGGTAAGGAAATTTGTAAACTGTCTTTAAAAGGGCCTTTAACTTAAATTTATTGAACCGACGCACCTTATGGCTTCATCAATTTAATTTGCTTAAGGCAACATAAAATGACCAGAAGACTTACTGTAAAAGGCATGTGAAAGGAGCATTATTTATCATAGCAGGTATATCAAAGGGGTACCTTTTCTGTCAATGATGGTATATAACAGTATAAGGAGTTCGACCTTGGGGTGGATACCCTCAGAATAAATGTTGGTAAGTAGCCCTTCCCTCCTCCCTTCGGCGTTCTTAGCGCTTTGTCCAGTACGTTAGTTCAGTATAGAACGTCGTGGGGAGAATGTGAGAAGGGAAGTCACTGGGAAGTGGATGCCTCCTCTCCTTTTCTCCTCTCGTGGGGTGGCTTGTTGTTCTTGGAATTCCCCCCACCCCCTCCGAAGAAAGAAACTGATAGAGAACTAGTTCCCACCCTTCCTCCTGTCATTCAGCCATGAAGTAGAGAGACTCGATCCACTATCTCATCGCGTGTAAGGCTAACGCTTGAGTGTTTGTTGAAAGGGTCGAATTTTACGAAAAAATCCCTGTAGAGTCATGGAAGCCAAAGAGGTGTACTTCGCCTATGGATCAAACATGGACCCGGAAACAATGCGACAACGCAAAGTTTCCTTTGCTGCTCGAGTCGGAGCAAAACTTCTCGATCACAAGTTTAGCTTTTCGTCGAGACGACCTGATGGAAGTGGTGCGGGAAATATTAGACCGAAATTAAGCTCTGTTGTTTATGGAGCGTTGTATACCCTCGAAGAAGGGGGCCTAGACAAACTAGATGTGTTTCAATTGGTGAAAGAAGGCTGTTTTCGGCGCCAGAATGTCACAGTGGAGACTCTGGATGGACAAACAGTTGAAGCGGCGACCTATGTTGTCACGGAGAGTTTTTATCAAGAGGGATTACTCCCTCGAAGAGACTATTTGAATCATTGTCTGACGTGCAAAGATGTTGTGCCGGCCGATTATTATGCTTTTTTTGAATCTTTCAAGGAAATCTGTCAAGACTAGATGAGAAGAGCGCTTGGTTACTGTAAGAGAACGAACAAATCGATGGCGTCCCTTAAGTTTGTCGTGTAGGTTTTAGAACTTCGTACTAGTAACTCAAATTTACTGACTGATGTCTTCTTGAATCAAGTATGTACAAAAAATGGCAGGAAAAATAGCACCTACCCAAGAACTGGATGGGGGTGGGGTGGGGGAGGGGCTTCGCGAAGATAATTTGATTTTGAGAGATGTCCTGGGTATGGATTTAAATACCCCCCAAGAACCAATCTTGGGTGGAGAATTTAAATAGTCGCGATAATGTGGCTGAGAGAAGATGGAGATGGACGTTCCACATCTTGTGAATTACTTCACTAGCAGTGTGAAACCTTTATTAAACTTTTTGATGAATTTGACAGGAACTTTTTTAGATGAAATTTTTAGATGTTGTGACCGAGTATACCCTGGAGCAGACATTTCTCTCTTGCTTGGCTTTTAGCCTTTACGAAGCCGGTAGACCGAGTAAAGTCCTGTCTTCACAGCCTTTTATTAGCAAATGAAATAAACTCGCTGAGATACAAAAATAAATGAAATAAAATTTATTATTTTTTGTATTTAATAGAGGGTCTCAGTGGGGTTAACCGATAGGCGTAAAACGGCCAAAAATTTAGTCGATAGCCGTAAAAATTGAAAAATTTTAACCGTTAGCCGTAAACAGAGTAAAAAAGAGTTAACCGTAAAAGAAACTGTTCCCTAGATTTGCTACTTTTAAGGGAGGTACTAAACTCATTTATGGTTGCGTTTTTTTATTTCCCTGCTAGTGTGACTCCGTATGCACGTTAGGCGAAGCGCCTTTTAGATGTTGACTGAAGACCTAGGCTCCATTTCCCCCACTCTCTCGGCGAACTAACTTTTTCCATAGCGAAAGTGTGGCTTCTTGCTAGGGATTAATATTTGTGATTTGCAGGAGGTCGTGCCTTCGTGAGACAACACTCCAAGATGTCACTGTTTGTAAAACACGTTGCCGATAAACAGCATTTCCCTGTTTTTCTCTGACGCTACAGAAGACATTGCCAGGCCTAGTCCTGTACGGCGTCTTCCCACGCAATCTCGGTCAAGGCATTTCGGTGGCGAACTCGCTCTGACCACGTGACCCGAAACGCATTAGCCGCGCGGAATAATGAGGCCTACGGACAAGGCGACGGCAGACAGTCGTTCTATACAGTCCTTCGCTATCATTAAAAGCACTGGACTTGGGAATTTTGTTATTGTCCGTTTTCACGCTAGAGCTAGAAATGGATTATCCGTCTGAGACTAGTCTGTGTACAGTCACGCCCTCCCCACAGACGCCCCTTCTCCAATTTTTTCTGAGGGGAGGGGGTGGCTGTACACAGGCTATCTGGAACGGATAATCCCGTCTTCAAACTGTCCGTCGAAATTGACGGATAAAGTCAGACGGATTGTTCATTCAAGATTAAAACTATTCCATTTTCAAATTAAGAAGTATTACCTATCTGACGCGAATCATCAAACGGATAACCCGTCTCACACGAATAATCCGTCTCTAGTGTGAAAACGGCCATTTCTGTTATAATGAATGTCGCGCCCCGGCCTTGAGTTGGGCGTTTGCGTGTCCGCTTTTGCTTTTTCACAAAGATTATTTTTAAATTGACTATTGACGTTTCTATGTGTAAAATAATATTAGAAGTGAAATACTTTATAAAAAGTGTTATCTATCAAATGTTAAAATTTTTCAAATTTTTCCCCGAGATGATCCGAAGACCTTTATTTTGATTTAAAGATACAAAAAATACAGGTTAATTAATATTTAACTTTTGAAACAAAAGTAGTTAATTTTTAACTTTTTTGTTAACCGTAACTGAAAATAATTAACCGATAGCCGTAAAAGAGCCCAAATTTTAGCCGATAACCGTAAAAGCCACCACCCCATTGAGACCCTCTTAATACAGTGACATGAGAGCAATACAAATGACAACAGGAGTAGCAGTTTTTGTTTTTTGGAAAGAAAAAGAAGTCAGAATGGTATATGAGTATTAGAGACCAATACGCTTAAAAAGAAGAAATGTATTTCAGATCATGAATCAAAGAAAGATTGAAGTGGGTTGAACAGGAAATTGCAAAAAAGAGGCCGCTCCATCATACAGTCTATTAATGAAAAGGAACCTTTAGCCTGGAACTAGCCTGTGCGGAAGTCATTCAAAAGGGAAGAAGAGAGGAGTTGGGACATCCCCTTCACGCTGTCACATGCCCCAGATCCCCTTTTCCTTCCATTTCTATTGCTAGCCTTGCAGGTAGCCAGGAAGAAACTGAAAACAAGAGGATCAAGAAATTTTGGAAACTCCCCATTTAGCAGACCTGTTTGTGACAGAAAAGGACAGCTGGAGTTGGATTATTTGACATTCCTTATCAGTTGTCCTTAGTATTTTTAGTCATGCAAACAGGCCTGTAAACAGGATTATTTACTTTGAAAAACAGGAAGGTTTTTTAACAAAACAAGGGAACCACCAGCCTTGCTTCCATTCAAAGGCCAAGGCACTGAGCACACAACTTCAAAATGGTATACTGGAATGTTGCTGAACCTTCCTGAGACTCATACCCTCCTTTTCTGGTGCCTTTATGACAATATACCACACTTTCATGTCTTTCAAAGTCGCTTGACAACCCTTGCAACCTAGCCTGTAAAAACAGCTGTCTCTCCTTGTTCCTCGATGTTCCTCCTGGTGAAGTGTTCCTTGCAGCAAGGAGCAAGGAGAGAGACCTGTTTTTACAGGCTAGGTTGCAAGGGTTGTCAAGCGACTTTGAAAGACATGAAAGTGTGGTATATTGTCATAAAAGCACCAGAAAAGGAGGGTATGAGTGTCAGGAAGGTTCAGCAAGGTAGGTTTACACCTACATGTACATACCTTAAGTAAGATTTCTACCCATCCCTGTACACTATTTTATTTTGCATGCAGCAATATCACATTTTTTAACAAAAAGTTTTAAAATGAATAGAATCATAACACGTATGCATAACAAATGCATGGAGTTGTCCAGAAATTTTTGCTGTATGCAGGGATTTTGGTCCCTTTGCATCCTGCATCCCTGATGCATAAAAATCCCCAAAGATGCAAAATTATTATTCATGGGATGCATCCCATAGGACACAAAGAAGAATCAATCCATTTGAGGTTTTTTTGGTAGAATAAAACCTGTTTGTGAAATTTCTGTTTCTGTTTCTTAAAGGTGCATAGTCTTTTTTGTGCTTTAAATATATAGGACTATTTTAATTTCAGTAAACTGTAATAAAGAGTCTTGGCATCAGTCTCCAGATAAACTGTCTGGTTACATAAAGGCCCAAGCATTTTCAATTAAGAACTCCTTGTTTTTTTAAACTGAAACTCATTGGTTATGGACAGGAAGGGACTCACGATCTTTCACAAGATGAGTCCCAGGACCCACCATACCTATCTGTAACAAAATCACTGTACATGTACCTCTTGCAGTCAATAAACTTTTGATCACCAAAAGCATTATTTTGTCTCGCCCTTTTTCAATACCACTTCCAATTCCTGGAAGGAAAGCAATCTTTTCACGTCTTTATCATTTCTTACAATTGTGTTTGGCAACTTTCTTATCTTGGTTACATGGTTAATTGCCTCAATACCTAGCTCTGCACAACACACTGCCTGGAAATTTTGAAATGTCATGTTACTTCTGTCAAAATCAACCTCGATGAAGTCCGTTTCCTCTGCATCAGCAATTCGCAGTCTTAATACGAATTCATCATCTTTTTGAGTAGCTAAAGTAGTTGAATCATGTGAATGATTTTTGGTCCCATGTCTTTCACGCATGCGGGTAGAACCACCCTCTGGATTTACCACAGGTAAATCAGCTTTCTCTCTGTGATCCCGTTTCTCGTCCATGGCCAGCTCATTATTTGAAGTTTTCTGCGCGTAAAAGAAATCGGGATTGCGAAGGTAGTTCGGGACAATAGGTAAAGCTTCGTTACTTGAGTTTACAGCTACGTTCTGGTCTGCTCCAAGCATATTTCTTATAGTCTCGTCACTGGCTAATTGCGCCGCGGTCTCTCCTTTCTTGGTAAGCACAGTTGTATCAACTCCCTCTTTTATGAGGTATTTCACAATATTAGCATGTCCCCTTTTTGCTGCCCAATGTAGAGGAGTCCAGCCATTAACGGCGTTCGGTGCATTTATGTTGACACCCCGTTCTACCAGCAGCTGAACGTTTTTCTCATCCCCAATACAGCACACTTCACGAAGTCTTTCTTCCAGCTCCTTCTTGTGATCCGCCATCTTTAATTTTGCAAACTGGTAAGATATTACAGCGCTTATGATTGGTCATGCTGCTCACTAGCCAATCATAGAGCTTTTAATAGAAATTTTCAAAGTAGTCCGCTGTCTACCACGTGGTCGTTCGTGGGCATATAAACAACATGGCCGCTCGAAGACCGAAATCTGGATTGTCTGCAACAAGTTCGGAGTCTCCAACCGACGCAGCAAGCTCAGTAGATGATGACTTGTAAGTAAAAATTGACACGATAGTTACTAATTTCCTTTGTAGCGTTCTAAGTGTGATTGTAGTCTATCTTTGTGCATTGTGGTTTTCACTTGTTTCTGATCATTGATTTAAGGACGCCTCAGTGAATATAATGTCTTTTTGTGTGATGCTGTGTGTAATATTAGTCGCATTGTGCGGATAGTTTTGTAAAGTTGCATGGAATAAATGTTGTCCCTAGGATTTCAAAACTCGTCGCAATGTTAGTCCTTTATACTCCCTACCTCTCCATGCCATATGCCTGTATAAAGGCAGAAAAAAATTAAATGCATTGAATATATGAAGCTGAGTACCTTATGTACATGTTTCAAAAGTTGTGTAGTTAATGATTAATAATAACTTATTATTTGTTATTTGTTAGGGAACGCGTCCAAATATCGGCATCGGGTCACACCGATGCCGATCAATTGGGCACCGATTTTTTCCGATTCCGTTGAAGGTCGGACCCGATTTTATCGGTACCGAATGAAACGGAATCGGCAACGGGTCTCAAGTCTTTATCGGGCCAATTAACTAAGGTCATCAAAAATATCTGGCAGCTCAAATAACCCGTCACAAAAGCAAAAGCAAAAGCGTGAATGTTGTTTTTTATAACCTTATCTTTCTTATAAATGTGTCTTGTTTGAACCGAAATTTAACGTCACAGTTTCAAACATTTGTTTGTATTTCCTATGACAGAGTATGACCAGAAAATATTAAATTTGTTTCTCAAAATGGGCACGAGAAGAAACAGCAGGTCATTCAACAACGTTGAAGAGCATCTTTTGAGTAAAGACAGCACAATATACATTGCAAGTGTACGATCTCAAAATGATAATTTTAAAATAGCTTGAGCCTGTGCTAACCAGAACCCAAAACGCATGATTATAGGAATCTTTGGAGGAATAAACGGTTTAGGACTGTAAATGAAAAAAACAGAAAGAAGTCAGAACATCCACGACCAAAATGCAAATGTTGTTACCATGTTGTGTACTTTAACTGCTAAATTGCCACAGGAGAGAAGAGGACATTGTCTGAGAATCAGGCTGCAAGTTGTTTATTGGTTGCATATGAACTCAAAAAAGTGACTGATGGAGGCGTTCAACTGGTTTTCTCTTTCTCGATTCTCTTTCCGCTATTAAATTGAGTCGAACTTACCGGATGTATGGACAGTTTGCTTTGGTTGAACACTCCGGTAAAAAAGGTTCTGATTTTTGTCAAAAAGTCAGCCACCTAGAGTCAAGTGCAAATTTTTCTAAGTGCTGAGAGTGAAAAGCAATTTCACGTGGCACCATGCTCAAGCTCACAGAACATACAGCAAAGTCGCTAAGACATTCTCTCTTTCGTAGCTCCTGTATGAAACTTCATTCCGTGTCTTCCGTGACTCGCGAGTGTGGGAATCTTTCAGTTCTTGTTGCTAATTCCCTGGAGACAATCTGAGGCCGCAATCTAATTGGTCGGTATTTTTTGCCTCAGATCGCATTACACCTTGCGTTTAGGATCGTTGAATGAAAGAAGCAAAGTTTCGTAAAAGTTTATCCCGTGGTTTTATATTATCCATGGTTTTGCTCTCGCTCCGCTGGCTAGGAAACCCGTTGAGGTCTACTTGTAACAAGTCTATGAATCCAGTTGTGTTTCGAGAAAGTGAGTTCCGGCTGTGTTTTTGGATTACATTGTTAGAAAGTATCGAGTAAAGAACACACTACTCACTAAGGTGTTTTGTTTGCTATATATCAACGAAGAACAGTGGTGTTTTGCGTCGTAATATTTAACTCCTTCTAATTTTCATAGAATAAATGTTATGGAGCAGCATGGTGTTTGCGATCGACTGGAGGAAATACCTCTGCAAAACGCCGAAAATCACGTGTATAGGCACGCATCAAATCAACAAACTCGAAACACAACATGCAGGAACATACAATATTGCTATTTGTTATGGAGTAGGAAAAAGGTACAGTCGATTGAAATTACTTTGGAGTGAAACGACTCTTTCCTTATTTGGTTTCGTGACACGCTTCATTTTACATATCAGATAAAATAATATGACGATGAGACATATGAACATCGGAATGTCAACTGGCTCCGATTGAATCGGCAAAGTTTTTATCGTAATCGGAAACGGCAACTGGTGCCTATAGACCGGTACTGATTCCGATCAATCGGAAAATTAATCGGGTCCGTTTCCCATGATCGGGTTCCCTACCGATATTTGGACGCGTTCCCTTAGTTGAAAGTCAGAAAACTGGAACACTAGAATTATTTCTGGAGTCTTACAGACTTTCCAAACCCCAAGAGGCAAAAATCTCGAGATTCTAAACCTAGAGCTGGGAAAAGTAATGAGAAGTGGGAAAAAGATGGGAATAAGAAGCCACATATCATTTTAAAGATGGAGCAGTAAACATCACAATCATCGTCTTCATCGCTGTTAGCGTGCACACGTTTTTTTTAGATTGAGTTAGCTATCTAAACTTGGAAACCAACCCTCAAATTACATGTAGAAATCAGTTGTCATCTCATCAGAGTGAGAGATTGGTTGTGAAATTGTGACTGATGACATAGTCGTGTTACTAGCTTGAAAAGTCTGGTTTCATCGTGTAAAAAGGTAAAAAGGCCACTCAGGCTTTAGAAAACTAAACCCAAGCCCTAGGATTTCAAATGCCTTGGAAAACAATTTTTCAGTTCCATGGCCATAAATAAGAGGACACCACCCTTAACAATTTTCTGGTTCTGTAAAACTTCACTGAAACCCACCTCCTAAATGTTTTTAATCTTTTGAAGTCACATATCTTTTTCTTGGTACTGGAAGCCATTAACCCAGTAAATGTTCAATGCAGTTTAGGAACAATTGATTCAAGATGGTCAGACAATATAAAATTGATAGATGCTAAACAATGTTTTAGTTTTGTTTATAAGCTGAGTCATCATAACCATAGAATTTCTATGCGTGTTTTATAAAGAGTCTCAGTGGCTTGTGTTTTTGTGATTTGCTTGTGTCTCCTGATCTTTGTTGTGATTGGTCACTAATTAATAAACATCCCTCTGCTGAATTAATTAAGGTGTCAAGGTTTTCTGAGTCTGACAATAAAGTAAGACAAATTTTTTTGACAATCAGAAAATTGGTAATTTGTTTTGCAGTGAAAAAAAGTTGGCCTATTCGGACAAATCTGTATGGAGCCCAAGGCCTTATACAATATTTAAGCTGCTCTTGTCAGCGAGGTTCTGCTCTGCCTTTCTTAGTAATATATCTGACTGTGATGAAACATTTAATTACTGGGAACCAGTAAGTACAAAATTTAATGGCAATTTTCTGATGCACGCAACACTGGGCTGTAACTAAGATTTTAAGTTGTCCTGTATATGTTGTAGTTAATTTGTTATCTCAGGTAATTTTTATTTTTCCTGTGTTTTAACTTAATTAACATACATTACCATTCCCAAAAACAAAAGAAAAATGAAAATTACCTGAGATAAAAAATTAACTTCGACATAATATTTTACAGGACAAATATATTTTTAGGTTATTTTTTAACCTAGTTTATTTTTTCCCTTTTGTTCTAACCAGCTTATTTTTAAACCTAACTTAAACCTTAGCTATGTTAGCAATCTCATTACTCATCAGTTTGTTTCCTATCTTTCATTTTCTTGTTGTCCATGCTCCCATCCTGTTCTCTGTCATAGTAACATCCACAGTTTAGTAAATTACAGCATTTGAGGAGCCAACAAATTTACCTTTCTTAAGTATTATTATTCTAAATGACAATTTCACAGTAAAAAAAACTCTCTACAGTCAACTCCCGTTATTGGGGACACCCTTGGGACCGCAGTTTAGTGTCTGTAATAGCGAGAGTCCATAATAACGGGGTGGGAGAAAAAATTCATTGCTATTGGAGGAATTGCATTTATTCACATTGTACATTGTCTCCAGAACCAACAGTGCAGTTTTTCGCACAAAGAGAGCATCAGAACTTTATTTAAAAACAAGAAAAATGGTTATAGAACAAAACTTACGTCTCACTTTCGTTTACCACAACGGTCACTGAAAAATGTGTAGTACGCAATTTGCCATAAAGTACCATTCTAGAAAAACCAAGTTATGTACATTAAGTACGTCATGACTGTCTGTTTTTTGCAAGTAAGTACGGTGGTTTCATAGAAGGATCATGTTAAACAGGAATTAGAATGTTCACTTTTCAATTAAAATTACAGAGACGAAGAGAAGAAGAGGAAGAAATATTTATAATCGGAGAAAATTTTGCCAAAATGTCGAAAGATGCTGATTGATGTCCGTTTAAACGAGAGTTAGGATAATAAAATTGTGCTGTCGGGACTGAGGAAGGTGTCCGTAAGTCGATAACAGTGAGAGTCCGTAATAGCAGGAGTTTGTTTCAGTGAAATGTATGTAATTATCACTGGGGATTTAGCAGCCGTCTGTGTTATCGGGGTGTCCATAATAGCGAGGTGTCCACAAGGCGAGAATTGACTGTATTCTGACAAGCATTCCAACCTCTTTCCACATGTGTGTCCTTTATGGAACTTTGACCTTTTAGAGCAATCTGTTATTTTTATTTTTTTACCCCTTTCCAGTGTTCAATCTAGGCCACGTTTTTGCATCATTGACACAGATATATTCTATTCTGACGCAAAATGAATCGTGGAGTCATACTGATGCAAAAAAAGAAGTTACCTTGTATGTACAAGTACTTCCAACACAGTGGCAATAATAAAAGTACATTTTGCAAAATAAGTGAGCTTAAAAGCCCAAAATGAATGCGCAAAATGACTGTCGCTTCAGGCTACCTACGTACGAGTAGTTTTTGGGTCAGGCGTTCCATGCAATTCCGGGAGAGACTGGAACGTACACTTTGACCTTCTACACATGTTTTTTTGCTGATTGACAATAATAGTCTTTATTCAATCAAAGGATAAAAATACATATTCTAAGTTACAGTGGAAATGTATTAAAAGATACACGATAAAATACAATAGTAATATAAGAAGAAAAATACTATACTAAATTATATTTAAAGTAAGTCTATTTACAAAAGTTTTCTTGTATCTCTCCGTTTTTATCTGAGGAAGGTGACACCTCCTCCTACGCAAATTGTGTGCTAATTCTTTTTCTTTGGGAATGATCGCACCTAGCATGATTATTAATAGCTCTTTTGAAAGCAGATTTATCTTGCTGTTTTAAAAGATTAAAGATGCTGGCTGTTTGAGAGGTAAAATGACGCTTATGGCACCTGTCTGAAAAAAGCTGGATAACATTTAAATCAGATTCAGAAGCGCCATAAACAGCGAGACCATGTGTGAGAATGGGAATAACTAGGTTTTTTAAAAAGTGATCTTTTTTCTTCTGGCTAAAGAGTTCCTTTCGTAGAGTTCTGAGAATGTGAAGACACTTGTCAGCTTTTGTAAGCTTGAGTCTGACATGCTCGCTAAATTTAGAATTAGGCTGAAAATTCAGTCCCAGCAATACAAGGCTATCACATTGAGGAATGTTATTGATGGGAGCGTACTGATAGCGTGCACCGCTACTTTCCTTCTTTCTGAATATCAGTTCTTTACACTTGCTCGGATTACACAGCATCTGATAGGCTTCATTTGTTCGTTTTGTTCTTTTGTTTTTGTTTCATTATGAAATGACAACAAAAGCTAAGTTTATTTTTTTGCACTAAAGAAATTGGCAGTTGAACCTGAAAAGCATGAAGATGGGCTGGCCAGATAAGGATGGCGGTGAAGTAATAATAGTTATAATAGTTTGACCCAGACCATTACTGAAATGACCCAATTTAAAATGCGAATTGTGGGACATACATGACTGTATAATCCATTTTGACTGCCTTTCTCTGCAAGTCAAAAACATTATATTGTCACATTATTTTTCATAATTGTAATGATTATTGATAACAGTTGCTTGTTGAACACTCTTATTATCCCCAGATGCACTTCTTAATGTTTGGTTCTGGCTTTCAAACTTGGGAATATTCACCAAAGTATGCCATCAGATCTTATGCATACTTGCTTTTACACACTCTTCCTGGAAAAGCACAGATTGGAGTATTTGAAGCTAATAAAGTAAGACAATAAATTTATTAATTTACTGACATGTATCTTTTGACAGTCATATGTTCTCCTTGTATAAAGTGTTTGTTGTAATGAACTACATTGTACATATTGCATGATAATTACTGGTATTGTTTTTCTAATAATGGTAAAATATCATTGCTATCATTGAATGATAAGAAGAATTTACTTTTAGAATATAGTAGATTCTCCTAATCAAGGGTGGATCTGCCTCCCTATTAAATGTCTTGCACTGTCAAAGTTGCATTGTATTTTCAGAAGACGCCTAATACATTGTACTTACAGTTCTCAAACCTCTTGCAGTATGAGGTTCTTCAAGGGTGGATGCAGAAAATTCAGAAAGGGGTGGCCCGGGACACTTGCCAGCTAAATCAATACTATGTCCACTCAGCCAACCCTTACACGTAAATGGCCAACATGTAAATGGCCTTGAACCTTTTTCATGGGCTGTGTAAAACACAGATCTTTATAATTCATTGAAAATTTATGTCCTTGAACCAAGGCCATGAAATTGACAATTGCAAAATTCACGACCATGAAAAAAAGATTCATGGGTTTTTCCTGAACATTACATGGGATTTTCATTAAACTCATGTTGGTAGTGGTACTAAGCTATGGTATGGTATTTTAATAGGGTGCTGCTGTGTTTTTTTGATTGCAGTTGTTGGTTTTTTACTTCCTACGCTTTGTTCTGTCAATAGTCTGTGCTGCTTGTGAGACCTACTTCTACAGGTACAGCAGCTGTACTTTTATACCTAACCGATCTTATCATGCAGATGGCAGGCACATGTATATGTATATACATGTAATGTCTTGAATGGTGATTTTTCTCAGTAGACAACTTAGTTTAGTTCTTACTCTGTCAGTGGCATGCTTAGCATTTGGGCAAGCCATGCATTAATTAGTTATTAATGAATGAGGCTGAGTAGGATATGAAGAATTAAGCTGATCGAGGAGGGTGTTATCCACAGAGGCCGAAGGCTGAGGTGAATAACACCCTCCGAGAATCTGAAACAATACCTAAAAACATGGCAAGAACTTCATATCCTATTTGAAATATTTGCGGAGCTGGACAAAAATTCATTAATTGCTTTATCATTCATTCAAAATAATTCCTAGTTTAAAAACACAGCTAAAACATGCTTACCTGCATCAATGTTAAGTTTGTCTTTGATAGTGTACTTTTAGGTTTGTCCAGCTCTGCAAAATATTCTCCAAATAGCAGTTGTCGCCTCCGAGTTGTCTTCTTGCTGTTTTTGCTATGGTTTTAGCCATTATTTCAGCTAGTTCCAGCTGTAGTTCTTACTCTTGCAACAAGTGAAGTGTCTGCCATTTTAGTTTCGCAACGAAAACAACTCAACCTCGTCCCCAGGTCTGCTCAGTTAACGGTGCATTAACCTGTAGAAGGCTGCATTTTTGACACCATTTCCTCCTTAAACACAAAATTTTTCCAAATTTGATCATCGTTAACTGGTTATGGTGAATTATGCATGTGCTATTAGTCAATCAGAATTGGGGAGATATTTTAAATGAATAATAATTTTTGTTTATAATTGTTGCACATTATACATCGTACAATGTACATGTACATGCCATGCTAGCCACCACTATCAGTAAACATTATCGACTATTCTTTAGTTGCATAGTTTGTTACAAACATCAGTTTTAACCATGGGAAGTTTCCATTTTGATAGTCAAGTGATGTTTTTTTTATCAGAAATAAAAATAAGTTAAGTACTGTAGTGCTGTACAGTATGTGTATTAACTCACTGGTCCTTTGTGGACATTTTTAGGGGCATAATGAGGCAGTTTGGTAACCATGTGGCAAGAATTGCAGCTGTCTTTATGATTTTTAGCACAGGAATGTTTATATCTGCAGCTGGTAGGTTATGGTGGAAACCTTGGTTATGCATGTATCTTATAAATACTTTCAAAAATGTACACTACAGAATAAAAGGTTATATATGTTGATTTTTGATGCAATAAATTCTGTCAGTAGGTGTGGTTTCTGTCCTTCAAAGTTTCTGACCAATCTATAGCACAGTTTAATAACTATATCTTCAAACAGTATTTATTTAATAAAATGAAGGTGTGAAATAAAGGCTGTAGATCAATAATGATCAAATCAAAGGTTCTCCTTTCATTTCACAAACATACGTAAGGCACAGTTGAAGGAGAATCTAAGTTATCTAGAGTCACTAAAGCCTTTTTCGCATGGCACTTAAGCTGCCAATATTGTTTCTAACATGAGTTCCATTTTGTTGACTTTATCCATTATGGAGGCGGTGCCATGATTTTTTGCATGAGTTTTATTTCGCCTTTTCATCGTGCATGAACCCACTATCTTGTTCAACTGAACTATGATACAGTGTACATCATTGTTTTAAAAGAACATTTATTCATTGAGTGACTGTCCATTGGAAAGGATGTGTTACAGAAAAGTAAAAGTTAAAAAACAAAAACGAAACGAAACTGTATTGTGGGCTGTGTTTGCATGCATGTGTTTTGATTTAATGTTCTCTCTTGTGTAGTGTTTATTAACCCTTTAAGCCCAAGTATCCACATACAAGTTCTCCAAACTGATCTCCATACATTTCCTTAAAGAATGAGTTGAGAGAATTTGATAAAAGATCAAGGCATTTTTTCTTGGGTGATCACTTTATTAATTCTCTGTTGACAGTGTGTGGATATTGTTAGGAGAAAATTGATCTTGGTCACTATTGGGACTTAAAGGGTTAAACTGTTCATGAAGCTATGAATTATTGTTGTTTGTAGCATTTCTTCCAAGCACATTTGCAATGTACATGGTTCTTCTATCTTATGGTGGATGGTTTGCAGGAAATTATGAGGTAAGTCTGATATTCACATTTCATCTGCATAATGAATTGATTCCTTGGTATTATTCATCATTAGTAAAATCCAACTAGTGGTGTATTATCAAAGCTGTATTCTGATTGGTTGAGCTTCTACTAGGCTATATGTTATAGCCCAATAGCAGCGAAAAGTGCTGGCTTTGAAAACTAAAACAATGGCAGCTGAATCGCGTTTTGCTAGCTAAAGTTGTTTTGTCTCAATATTTTCGACCAACTAGTTGGATTTTACTAAAACAATTTATTCCTCTCCTTATGGCCTCTGAGTCAATAGCCCCTTCGGGCTCAACGAATAATTGTTAAATATTCAGGCCTCAGGAGGCTGCAATGTACTCACTGATCCATTGTAACTTTCCATGCCTTTGGGTCACTGAAAACAACACCTTAGTACCTGAACAGTACAGGGAACTTTAGATTAAATAGACTAGAGCTTCAAGCCTATATTGATGTCACAAAGAGAAGAGTTTTACCATGTACTGTAAGAAGCAAATCTCAATGTACTTACAGTGGTCTAATTAAATCTAAACGAACTATGTACAATAATTGATTTCTAAAAAGAAAAGTTTTCAAACGTTGCTTAACCCATTCGCTCCTGCAGATTTTGCCGAAAAACGCATTTTGAAGCTAGTCGAGTGGTTTTCTGGTCACTGTCATGCTATAAAGAGCTAAAACTTGCCACAAACCAGTTTACAGGTCGTACACTTCGCAGCCTTCTGATCCAGATGTAAAATATCAGCTTGTGAAGTTCGGGCATGCACAGAAAGCAAAATTTCTCTCCTCCCCTCTTTTTTTGCTTTTCTTGCCTCATTGTTTTTTCTCTTGCTGGGCATTTAGTAGGCTTCATTTTGGTGCGAAGAGATTTTAGGAAAGCTTTTAGGATCTTAGGGTTAGGTGAAAGGAAAGGTAGGTGGGCAATGGAACAAGTTTTTCGCGGAGATTTTCAGGCCAATGTCACATGGTTTTTTGCTTCTTTCTCTGGTGTCCTTGACTGAATTGTGCTCATTCTGGTATGGTTTGAAAGAACTCTTCACTATGCACAAGTTAGCAAACAAAGTTTTCCCTAACCGTTAAAACTGATGACGTCACAAGGGTAGGAAGGACGTGGATCCGCATGGGGGGTTACAGGCGGTTCAGGGACGAATGGGTTAAATGTGGAAACAGATTCAGAGTATTTGATACAATTAGGTAAACTGTTCCAGAGTTTTGGTGCATAATGTGAAATGAGTGCTAGCCATAAGTCACGGTATTAACAGGAGGAACTTGTAAAAGCAACCCATTAGATTAGCGGAGTAAATAAGCCGGTTGATATTTGACAAGTAGTGAAGACAAATTGTCAGGAGCTAAGTCATTTAAAATTTTAAATGTAGTGATCAATCTACTGCTTAAATAAAACTGTTGAGTAACCTGTCATGTACCCAGTATAAAACAGGTGAGCTCTTCTTTTATATAAAGTTAATGGTGATGGCATCTCAATGAAAATGTTAAAGGAGAGTAATTTCACTCAAGTAATGTATGAGCATTTGAACAAGGTAGTGTCAGTGGTGAAAAAGCCCACAGACCCCTTTTTACGATAAATTTTACTGTGTACAAATGCATTCAGTCAAACCATATGTTTCTGTGCACACACAGAGAGCTGTTAAATCGCTTACTTTTGAGTGGTACTGTACATGTACGTCTACATAAAATTATTGGATGGACATATAACTTAATACAAGATATGTTAATGCCAAAACATCCAGAAATTGTCGAAGAAGCCAGGTCTTTGATTTAACTTCAGTTGAGCTAAAAATGCTCAAATTCATACGTGTAGCAAATTGAAGGGTTCCCAACATTTGGATGCCTAAAAGTTTTGTCAAGGTAAAAAAATCATTCCCTTTGCACAAGAACTTACTTGATAATTGTATCATGAATTTACTGATAAATGTGATTTGAAGTTATTGTTTTGCTGTTTTAGGTTGCAGTGTTGGCAACAGCTGCGGGAGCCATTATTGGTTGGCCATTTAGTGCAGTTCTTGGGTGGGTAATGCTTCTAATGGTAAATTTTAGCCAGCAGAGTATACTACATACTACATACTACATAAAATACTACTAACACATGTGGACTGCAATTGCAGATCAGGTTTGTTGCTTTGGGGGAGGGGGAGGGGGGAATGTACCCATCATTTCTATCATCTACTGTAGGCTTAACTTGATTGACACAATAACATAACTTGACATCTTTATGATGCTTCTTCTTGAATTTCTTGGCAGAATTATAATAATAAATGTAATAAATTTATTAATACAATCATTAAAAATAACACTGTTTTGTGTGTATAGAAAAACTTCAAATTTTATTAAACATGGCTGTCAAAATTCAATTGCCATGTGGTAATGTCAAGGGAGACATGTAAGTAAGGATAGATTTTAGGAGAGGTTGCAAAATTTGGCGGTCATAGGTTGAAGGATTTTGAGCTAACTCAACTTTTTAGTTGGGGGGAGGAGGGGGGGTCTCAAAAACCCCCTGGTCTGATTAGGGAACTTACTTCACAGCTGTTTGCTTCTCTTTGCCAAAAAGTAAGTGGAGAGAAACAAAATTCAAGAATAATAAAAAGACCCTTTAACTAACAATAACAATTTATAGCAACAATAAGCTACAGTCGACTGCCGATAACTTGAACCTTCTAGGAAAATTAAAAAAAGTTAGAGTTATCAGGAGTTGGAAGCAAATAATCAGAAATGAGCAAATAAGCAAATGGATGGGGAGCGAGTGCAATTAAGCAATAAAGAATACATGGATGGACACAATTTGAATCGGAGTGACAAATACGTAAAGACAAAAAATTCACACGGTTGTTTTGAAATAAATTCAATGTCTTGTACTTCAGTACATGGTTTACTTTGGGCTTGTCGTGCGCTCAAAACATGGTTCGAGTTTTTTAACAATTATTAATGAATGAGGCTGAGTATCTTATGAAGAATTATGGAGAGCAGATGTCGCCCTTTGAGTTGTCTTCTTGCTGTTCTTGCCATGTTTTTAGCTATTTTTTCGACTAGTTCTTACTCTTGAAATGAGTGAAATGTGCGCCATTTTTCAAGTTCACAACCAAAACAACTCAACCTCATCCCCAGGTCTTCTTGGTTAACGGTGCATTAACCTGCAGAACGCAGCATTTTTGACGTCATTTCCTCGCTACGCACAAAATTCTTCCAATGGTGAATTAAAGGTGTGGGTTTTTAGCCAATCAGAATCGGGAAAAAATATTTTGAATGAATAATAACGAGGGTTAAATTATAGAAATGATCTGAAGGGAAGCAAAAATTACTTCAAGTTACCAGGAGGTTTGAGCTATGAAGGGTTCTCGTTATTTGGAGTCGACTGTACCTCACACGTTTTAAAAAATGCTCATAGTTTTGGTAGTCTAATGAGAGCCAGAAGCAAAAAACTACATGTATGTGCAGTTTGTCGAAACATTATTTAGTGTTACATGCAATTTGAAGTTGTAAAAATTTAAATCATAAACTCCTCATTATTAAGTAATCTATTTCTAAGACATAATTATGTTCATTGCAGATTACCCATTGCCTGGGATATCTTGATCAGACAAAGGAAATATATGTATTTTGTACAGTTATGTCTCATAGCACTGATAGCCATTTTGGTAAGTTTACATTCCTGTAAAAGTTTACATTCCTGTGAAAATTTGTGACATTTTTGCTAATCAGGAGAATAATTTTCTTTTCTCAGGGCCCACTAGCCTATATAGACTCTCATTTCTATGGCAGGACTGTTATTGCACCATTGAATATAGTGTTGTACAATGTGTTTGGTAAAGGAGGTCCAAGTCTTTACGGTAATAACTCAATGATATCTTTCCTTGGTTAACTTATTACAAACCAGTTTAAAAGCCAGCTGCCACTTGGCTGGCTAACTCAATTGATTAAAGCACTGCACTGCACTTTGTCTCTATTCACCCAGGTGTTTAAATTGGTTTTCTTAGACAAGAAACTCTACTCCACTTTGTCTCTATTCATCCAGGTGTATAAATTGGTTAGCAAGAACATACTGCTGGGGGGTAGCCCTACGATGGACTTGCATCCCATCCAGGGGAGAGTAGCAATACTCCTAGGCATGCTGCATGCTAAGGAAACCGGGATAAGCATACAGCTGCTTGGTCTTTTGGCTCGTGTACGCCCTCACCTTTACCTTATTAGTATTGTAGAGGTCAGGGTTCCATCCCGGCAAGCATGAATGTTTTTAGGCTTTCTTTTTGTAACTTCTTTACATGCGATGTATGATCTTCTTTGCATTTAGTTCATAGATACATTGTTCATTAGTTTATTGAATTACCATGACGAAAATTCCAACTGATTTCAACTTCTTTTACCCACCCAGCCTACTTACATTTGACTGGTCACTCTATAGGATACATAAGTTACATGTAGAACCACCCTGTACAGTCAGCATAGCCTGTGAGCAAGCTCTCCATTAGGAGGAGTCGGGAAAAGTCACGCGGGAGCAGCACGCGAAGGGAAACGCGAGTGTGAGGGGAGGGGAAAGAAGGGAGAGCTTTCCTTTCCTTCGTTCCTCGCGTTACTAGCGCGTTGTCTTGCGGTTAGCTTTGCTTGCCATAAATGGAGAGCTTTCTCGCAGCCTACAGTCAGCATAGTAAACAGTACAAGAAAGTACTATATATTATCTTTCATTTGATTACTCCTTAGGATACGTTATTCTTATCTGTACCATGTTGGTGGTTGTAATGTTTTTTCTTGTTTTAATTTTACCTCCAAGGCGTAGAACCATGGACATTTTACTTCCTAAATGGCTTTTTAAACTTTAATATTGTATTTCCTATGGCTCTACTTGCTCTGCCTGTTTGTGTAAGTACATGATAAATGTTACTGCTAAATTCATTTAAAACTTCAAGTATGCACAGTTAAAAATGCTAAGCCAATGCAGCTTTCCATTTGATCCTCTGGTGCCTAGATCACGCTAATAAAGGGTGACGCTCATTTTCTGCGATCACGTACTTTGAAAACAAGTGACCACAGAGCGCCATGCATGTATACGTAATCACATCTTGTTTTGCAAAAAAGATTGTAGCCAAATACGTGCGTAGAAAATGCGTAGAAAATTGGAAAATTGTGCGCACTTCTGGAAAAGAGCATCCAATGAACAATATGTACACAAAAATAATTAATAAGGTAATTTGCTTTTTAAGCTTTCATATCGCAACTTACCCTGGGTTATCTTAATCCAGCTTTGAGCAACCGGCCCGGAATATGACTGAAGTCTAGATACTGAATGGTTCTCATACAATCATTTTGATTGTCTCGATGGACCCAGCCATCCCTAAAACGTAATCGAGTAATTTGCGAAAACTTTCAGACATTTAAAATGTCGCCCAGTAACTTAAAAGTTAATACTGTATTATCTTTTTTTGCATCAGGTTTTTGTCAAGTTTATAATTGCGCAAACGCAGGAAAAGAAGTGTAAGTGATTAACAAAGATATAAAAAGCGTTGTGGGTCTAACCTGCGAACAAGCTCTCCATTTCGAGCAAACCAGGACAACGCGGGAGCGAGCGGCCCCACCTCTTGCTCCACGCGCGTGTCTTCTCCCGATATTTCTCACATAGGGAGCTTGGTAATAGGCTACCAGACCTATTACATGGGTACCGTCCAAGTCTGTAAGACAGAGGTAAAGGGGTTGGTTTCTAAGAAATCGGCGGTGCTGTGCCCGTGGGGTAGTGTAAAACAGAAATTTGACGGTAGAATTCGGTTTCCATAATGTCAAATCATCTCTCCCCCAGCCATCTGCGATCCTTCCCATCTTTCCCTGTTCGCGCACCTCACTCGTCTCCAGTACCCTCGCATTGATGCCACCCTTCCTGCTTTGGTTTGAAATAGCCTGTAGAGGAGCGGTCAGGCAGGTGTAGTTGGGGAATCACCGAATGACGTCATTCAAACGATTGAAAACATACTGAGTAGTACCCACACCACAGCACAGTAGGTAACTATAATGGTTGTTAGTAACACCCGGGAACACCCTGAAATCCCGGGAAAAAACAAACTGTGGTCGTAAGGCGGTTTTTCACTCTATCAGATGTTTTTTTGAAATAAATTAGCCACTGTGCATCGGTTCAGTAGTTCCAGTCCCTCTTCATAACAAGTCAAAGGTCTATGGCGTAAGCGTTGTGTATTCACGTGATTGAGAAACAAAAAAAAACGTTCCTAGTTGCAAAACATAAAGGATAAACTAAGCAAAATCGATATGCATTAGAAAGTGTACCCTGGGGATTCTACAAATAAGACTATTAAAGAAGTTACACGTGTTTTCCTTTATCCCTCCACTGGAGTCCGCGAAAGTGAAGAGACTGCTGGCGACCCTGCCACTCCCGCCCCCCTAAACAAGAAAGACAGGGTGATCCTCCTCGTTTCTACTTTCGGCCGGTCTGAGACTTGTCCCAGGATAGAGCAATCTCCATACCTTATTACCATATCATCGATAACAATCATATTTGTTTTCAAATTATTAATTTCAAATTAAGCTTCAGTCCTTATCAAAACAGTTCCTTACACTTAGTTGATGTTCTTCTATCCCCCGTCCCCCCTCCCCCTCCGCAGAACACAGATGGGTCTATCTTGCCCTCCTGGGGTTGCCCGCAAGTAAAGATTTTGTTTTGCCCGTGCAAAAAATCCTTTATTTGCCAATGTGGTTCGATCAAGTCGGCAGAATATTGACTCTGTTCCCTCAAATTCATCTTGATCCATAAAACCGCAAGCCAGCTATCTTGGCCTGGCGCTTGGTTAATAAAAAATATGAATTTCCCTAAAATAACTTGACTAGCCTTCTTTGTTTTATCACCTTTCTCTGTTTAGTTCCCTCTTCAGTATTACCAGTCTGGCTAGCATTATCTGGAATGTACATCTGGATTTTAATATTCTTTACCAGACCTCATAAGGTAAGAAAAAAAACTATTTTGCAGCTTCGAGAAAACTGTCATGTAGATTCTTGACAGGAGAGTTTAAAGCTGCCATAAAAATAAATGAGCCAAACTTGAATGAAGGGATACCAAGGCGTTCCTTTGCCAAATGAACCCCTACCAAATTCTGATCTGTTAAAAACCAAATTAGCTGTTGGGTGACCTGTTGCGACCTGTTGAAATATCACGAGTGGTATTTATGCCAAATATCACGTACAAATCATGCTATTATTTGTTTATACTACTAACCGCAAAAGGTTTATAATTTTCACATGTAGGTATTTCAAATTAAGCTGAAATTCCACTGCTCTAAGCCAATCAAATTGCAGAAATTTCTCATGTAGTAGTATACTAATTTTTCTGGTAGGAAAAGTAAAAGAAAGCTACCAGTCGTCCTCGTCTTTGATTCTAGAGGGGGGTCTCTATTATTGGTGAGAGCTGGATAACGACTGATGGGAATAAGAAGGCAAATTTGAAGCTTTTTTGCTGTGTTAAAAACAAAAGAATAATACAATAATGTATTGCTAACTAATGACACAGGTGTGTTTTAATTGATTTATTTTGTGTTATATTTCTGGTCTAGGAGGAGAGATTTTTATTTCCTATTTATCCCTTCGTCTGTGCGTATGGCGCTGTGACTCTCACAGAGACACAAGTATGTTAATTATTATTGTTCCATTCCTGTTGACTTTATAATGTTTTCATCTGTCGCGAAAGTAAGCTCTGTCGGTAGAGCGCTGGTGTTTCACGCCGAATTACATTATGGCACTGTTTTGGGGACGCCTCCTTTATTGTCTATTACAAGATTGCGCGGGAAGGTGGACCGAAATTCGTTCCCTTAAACAATGCCACAGTCTATCTTATTCGACGACACAGCACCGACTCAGTGTATGGGCAAGTTCAAAATGGACAATCAGCACTTTTTATAGTTGTTTTTGTGTTGAAACTGAAACACCATGCAGTCTTGTCGTGTCAGCAAGTAAGAAAAGCGATAATTCTGAAGGCCAGATGCAAAATACGAGGAGATTCGTTTACACTCCAGTCACTGCTTGTCATTATATCAATTTATTTCTTTCTAGTCAAAAGAAATTTTGCAAAAAAAGGGGTAATTGTGGTCATCGGCAATGCTACGCAACATGAAGGTGAAGTCAGAGAAATAAGCTTGACCAGTTGTGTCGAAAAGTATGTATTTTTCTCGTTGTCAGAAGTCAGTCTTTCTTCGACGCTAGTCATCGGCGTGCTATAAGAGGTGAAGGTGAAGCGTAAATTGTTGCGTCAGATAGATAAGCATCATCTTGTAAGTCGAAAGTTTTTTCTTCGATGCAAGAAATCACGCTCTATTTTCTTCGACAGAGCAGGCTACATTTCATGCTTATAGGAAATAGCAAGCCGATAAAATCGCAAGTGAAAACAGACATAACAGAAACTGTAATAGCGTTCTCCCTATGGAGAGCTATTTTTTGTATCTGTGACTTTTAAAACTTTCATACTGTTTTCTTAATGTAACTCTTATAATGTTTTTTTTTTTTTTTTCCCGCAGAAACTTTTTCATTTCCTGTTCTTCAGTAACATGAGGCAGCATTACGCCGCCTCTTCAACCTGGTTTGCAGTTTTCGTCAGCGTTCTTTTTTCTTTGCTGTCTCTTTCGCGATCTAGTGCTCTTTATTATGGTTAGTATCAACTCTCTTTTGCAAGGTTCATTGAATAGTTTCAATAATTTCCATTATGAGAGAAAAAAAGAAAAGAAATACAGATTAAACAGTAGTACAATGTGAAGGTAATGCTTAGAACGTTTCTTGTGAGTGTTCACTTCCATAAAGTATTTCATCCACAGAGCTAAAAAGTAGAATCATATTGAACACAACAACGAAAACTACCACGGGACATTAAAGCTGAATGTACTGGACAGTAGTTTACATTTGATTTGCCATGCTAGAAGATTTTGAGTCAAAAGTAAAACCTCTATGACTAACAGTACGATAGTAAAGTACTATTCGGTAACACACTCGTAGGATTTTGTTCTTATACTTAAAAATCAGAGCCAACTTGAACAGCATAACAAACATTTCCACGGGAGAGTACAGCTGGATAGCCATCATTTGATTGGTCACACCAAAGAATTCCGTCCCCGTACTCAAAAGTAGAACCGCCCGATTTGCTTTCTCTTGAATGGTCACACTTTAGGATTTCCTCCTCGATCACACTCCTAGTGTAGATCTATCTTATACTGCATAAATAACATTTCTACTGGAAATTACTTCGAGTTTGTAACTTTCTGCGCATTTGCTAGCTACATAGTGAACTCAAGTTTTTCCACAGGGCATTCGGCCCCTCCCGTTCATTATACTGGCACCGTGTTCGCCTTCTTTCCCTGGAAATCTCTCATGTCAGTCTTAAACCCTTCATCAAAATATATTGGTAATATATTAGACATCAAGTTGTGAGGAAACAATTACGTTATAGGACGAAGCAGGTATCCAACCTATGTGCTCTGTACGAAACTTTGGTAGCTTATTGGCAGGTCGGAGTGTCTTAATGATGTACAACCCGCCTATTTTGTTTACCAACCTCGTGCCTGAGGCTGAGGTTCTCGCTTACTCGTAAGAGAGAACCCTGAAAAAGAGGCTGTTTATGTGCCTGCGTTGACGGGCCCTTTCCCCTCTCAGCCACCGTTTTATTGGCGTAAGAGATATATTTACTTTTTTCTTAACGTTTATTTGAGCTTATTCCTATTTATCAACTCCTCTTGGTGGGGTGTAAAACATGCTTCTAACTGTTTGCTGTTGCTTCCGTTGTTACGTTCATTTAGAACTCGTCGCTTTGCAATGTACAGAAGTGTTAGAGGGTTTAATAACGTGAACGAACGAGAACCTTGATATCCTGAATTAACGAAGTTAACGCACTCGTGTTTTCCTTCAATTCTTGGCACTAAGGATATTCGTATTGCTAGCTTGAACTGACGAAATTAACGCGACTTTGTGAATTTTGTGGAGAATTAATTTTCTAACATAAAGAGTAATTTAAGTAAATCTTTTCTGTTAAAAGTGGCTAAATGTTAGTCTATTTTCCTAGGCTACCATGCTCCTCTGGACTTGTATGTAGAGCTGAACCACATGTCATCAACATTAGAACATCCCTTCCCTGCTAACAAGCGAATTAACCTGTGTGTTGGCAAGGAGTGGTACCGATATCCAAGCAGCTTCTTTTTACCCTCAGAAAGGTAATACTTAAAGTTTAAGTTAAAATATGCTGCTGTCTGGCATCATTTTTTTGGGAAACGTGAAGAAAGGATGGGACAAAGTGATACTTACCCTGAATGCCAGAGGTTTTTCATGCGCGGTTTCTGGTTTCGGTTAAGTCTTTCGTGTCTTCGGCCTTCGGCCGAAGACGTTTCTGCTTGCGGTCGACGAAGCTCCTCGTCGCACGCAGGGAAAAAACCACTGGTAACACATGGTAAGAGATACCAGGTAAGGAGTATAATCCCAAGCAACAGTTAATCTTGAATAAGCATTGTCTTCAATCTCTTTGGTGACGATTGTATTAAGAGAAACTGGAAACAATAGTTATGAAAAATGCTGGGAGGCAAAGAAGGTTTATCAAAAGAAAGTCCATAAAATAGCGACTTAGTTAAGGCAATAGTCTTTTGATGTGTTTGCCGTATATTCGAAGAATGAACCCGTCATCTTTGTTTGGATCGAATTAAGACCATTACGTTACTAACGCTCTTTGCTTTCGGAAGGTGTAAAGGAACATTTATATAACACACTTATTTTCTTTTGCACCTTTGTGTGTCAGTGTGGATGACGAAATCATGTTAAATGCCGTATAAATTCCCAAACAGTGAAGTGACGTCTTTGCGGCGCGCGCCCGAGTCTCGTTCCCAGGTTTCTCTCTCTTCCTCCCTGGGAACGAGTTGACACGTTTAAACGAGTTCATATGAACTCCTGGGTGCTTCGAGGGTAAACAAGCAATTTGGCTCCTTGACCCTTAAAATGTAATTTAATTTCGTTTGTTTTATAATATTCCCCTTAGCCGTGGAGCCACGCATTTTTTCACCTAATCCAGTTTGGACCAAGAATGTGCTTAAACACCTTTAATTACTGCGCGAGTCACAAAATCGTGAACCTTTGATTCAGTTTTGATATTTAAAATCGCAATAACGTTAAACAGGAGTCTATCACATGGGCTCCTGCGTTAAAGGAATACAAACCTCAGTCAAAACCACGAACTAATTTTCTCACGCCTGATTGGCTTTTTTCTTGCATCATATTACTTTTTCAGAAATATTTCCAGCGTTCACGGTTTAATGAGTTTCTTGGTGAAAGATGCGGTTACGGAGCTAACTCTCTTTGAAGGACATTTTGTAGGGAAGTTAGCAAAATTTGAAATGAGCACCATGCGTGTTTACAGTAATGAGAGAAGCAGTGGTTTTAAGTACTTAAAATTGCTTTTTTTTTGCTTAATGATAAGTTCATAGTTTTATTATTAATGATTCATAGTCCAAGGTTGTTCAAGGTTTAGCCCTCACTCATAGTTCCTGCTTTTTCGAGTAGTGTTGAATGTAGTGTTGTCTATTTCTCGGATTTGTTTAACTTGAATGTCGATCCTTAAAGTAGGCTTTCTTGACAATTAAAGCTGACCTTGGGTTTTACCAACGCAAGGATTCGTGTTTTGGATGTCTAGTCCTGCCATGCAGTTTCACCTCTAACATTTTATTGGTTCTAAAGTACTTTCCATTAACGACTACGCAGGTATATTGTTCCTTGATTTGTTAAGCTACAGGATATGCAGTAGCATGTTCTCATAGTCAGCTAACCCAAACATGTCTGCAATTTAGCTACGTGTGTTTAGTTCGTTATTAATTGGCTTGGTAGCAGAGCTAAAGAAGTAGCTTTGAAGACATCCATTTCCAGAAGAATAAAAGTAACCATAATACTGACTCTTGTAGATTTCCTTAGCAAAAGCCCTTAAATGGTGAAGAACGGTTTTTTTACAGACATCTTTAACTATCATGGCGGGGTAAACCTTGAACAATTTTTGACTATGAAACTAATCAAAAATAAGGAATAAGTGATGTAGGGTGTTAATTTATGAAGAAGATGACCTGAGGTAAAGAGAAAAAGAAAGTGGGTTGGCGAGGGTCAAGTTATTGCGAGGTTTGAGTAACCGAAGATTCAAGCTGCAGAAAGTCAACCGTACCCTCTGTTTATTTATATTTTTTTTTTGCTCCAAATTTTGTTGCCAATAGAGAGGAGAAGTCGTTACGTCACGTTGCCATGGTAGCAAAATTTTGATGACAACAAACCGTTAAAGTCTCTTAAAAGTCTAACGCACTATTTCAAACTTAACTGACCTTATTCAGTTTCATTTAATTTGGCAAATCTTGGCGAAATTTTCTTTGGGACCGTATCTATTGTTATCTACGTTTAGAAAAAGAAAGCGACAATTTTTGTGTTGTGTTCACGTACTCCATAAAGCGGGCTCGTGAAATTAGGAAGTTTCATGTCGTAGTGGTGCAACGACGTCAAAAAAAATGTACAAAATAGTGTGATGCACGTGCAAAGTTGTCGTTTGTTAACATAAACATATTATTTTTTGCCGTTTTCCTTGCCGTCGCCGTCGTCTTTGATTTTGTTGTCATCCAGAAATACTGCTACCATGGTAGCGTGACGTCACACCTCTCTATTACCACGTTTTATATAATTTATGGTAGGTGGTACCTCCAGTTTATTCGCTCCGAATTCCGTGGCCAGTTACCAAAGCCTTACAGCAACGCACCTAATGCCACTAAAATAATCCCGACGCAGATGAACGACATGAACGAAGAAGAGCCTTCAAGATATGTAAGTAATGGTATGATAAGTGAGTTATTGATCACAGTGAGTTAGTTGTGGTAGTAACTGCGTAAGTAAGTGGTAGAAGTGTTGGTGGCGATAATTGCGATGATGATGATGATGATGATGATGATGATGATGATGATGATGATGATGATGATGATGATGATGATGATGATGGCGGCGGTGTTGGAATGTTGTAGGGATTATGCTTAACGAAAAAGTAAAATCAAACGAAAAGAGAGCTTTAGAGGAAAAAAAGAGTGCAAAAGAAAGACAAGGTTTGAATTCTCATGGCGCACTTGTTTGTGCAACGTTGATTTCTCCCTCTGTATGTTGTTTTTAAAAGGTGTAGGCGCGCCGTTTTTAAAAGGTGTAATTTATCCGTTGTCGTCATGCATTGATATCTGAGAAGAGAGAGAATAAATATCAAGCTTTAAAATGCCCTGATTTTTAACAAATGTTCCTCATCGTTGCCCTAAGAAATGTGTGGAGAAAGGTTAAGAGAATACGTTTTTCATCTTCAGCCAGTAATACAAGGCTTAACATTAGCTGGTTAACAAAGTTGCAGAGATTGTTTAACAAATTTTCCACGATGATTTCATGCTATGTATAGTTATAAAATAGGCCATTTAACATTTCGAATGTTGTTGAATAATTAGAGAATAGAGATGGACTCTATTCCGTTGAGCAAGTTTATTCTTGTAACTGCCTGGTGTCATTAATGCATTATTCGTAACTTTCTGTAATTCTTGGTGCCCTCATAAAACAGTTCACCTTTTCGTAATTTTCTTGCAATTCCCCCTACCCCCACCCTACACAGTGTTAAAAATCGAAAAATTCTGGATACACGCGTCCAACGGTGCTTCTGGAATGGGGGATGGGTTGGGCATATGTAAACTGAAAAAAGCCCCACAAATGCAAAAGTGTCCCAAGACTTGTCCATGGTTGAAGTGTTATTATTGAAAGCCCGTCTCATGGGGCTCTTTGGTCTTTTTAAGATTTCTGTTACAAAGTGCGACTTCCTTGTGGATCTAGAGACAGGCAGAGAAACTGAAAGAGAACCAGACTTCGCCAAACGAACAAAAGAGTGGGAGGTTCTACTAAAAAAGCCGTTTCTGGACGCTGAGAGGTTAGTAATGTGACATGTTCTTTAAACCAGTGAGTTTTTAAGGTGTAATTTGTGAAGAACATGAAGATAGAAGTGCAAAGCTTTGTATTTTCAAGTCTGTTTTTGACGCAGAATCTGACCAAACCTCTCCTCACATACCATTTTATTATCGCTACTCCTACCCTCAGGAATTCCTCTTCACAAGGAAACGTTTGCCCTTTTTGCTAGAGTGTTCTGGTGACCAGTTAATCCCTTTCCCCACCCTTATCAAAGAGTTTACTCTTCCTACCCTCCCCTAAGGTTCTCTTTTGGGATCAATTTAGATGTTTGGGAAATGCCCACCTACCCCTCCCCTAAGCCAGCATTAACTGTTACTTCTCGTTTAGGGCAATTGTTGGCATAGGGGAGGGGTAGGTGGGCAGTTTCTCAGAAACCTAATTTTATCCCTCTTTTGCTCTAAATCTCAGAAAGACTGTTTGTTGTGTTTTCAGATCTCACCGTGTCTTCAGGGCATTTTATATCCCTTTCGTTTCCTACCGCTACACAACGTATTTAAACTACGTCTTACTAAGATCACTGCGCAAGACGAGCGCAAAGTCAAAGAAAGGAAAAGATAAAGAGGAAAGTGCAAGTTAACGAAAAAGAAAATCATAGTAACCGAGCTTTAGGAATGGGTGATTGAAAAAAATTGTACAGTACTATATTGAGACGCGAGAGAGTTGAAAAAATCAGAGAAATCCGCTGCTGTTTGTAGTTTTGCCTTAATCGAGTTTACAAGGCTTGGGTCGCTTTCCATTCAGCCCAATATTCGTGAAATTTCGGTGGAAAATCAATTGTTACGTACCATTTCAGGTTAGTCCGACCGCCTGGAATATTTGAAAGCACCTATGAAAGGTCTTCTTTTACCGGTCAGGCCGAAATTCTCCCTCCATTTGAAAAATTATTGTCCCAGTAACGCTCTTCTGTACCTCTCTTATAAGGACAATAATCAAACGCGCGGTGGCTTGGGTCGTGTCTGTGCAACGGGAATTTACCGTTCCACTGGGCACGTGGGATTTTCTGAAATTCAAACCGAAATTTTTCTTGAATGAAAAGCGCCCCAATTTTTTTCTCCCTCCCTCCCTCCCTTTCATTTAAAACCAACTCTTTTTCTTGAAGGATTAACAGTGCCACCGGAGACCACTGCTAAGTAACTTTCAAGTAACACTTATGCGTTAGTTAGAACCACGTTGTACAGAGTAATTAAGAAAGCTACCGGAAAGTAATGCTCTGAATGGTTACACGTTAGGATTTCATCCGCAGCTTGAAAAGCTAGAAGCACATTGCGCATTCACTGTAGATTTCGTTTGAATGGTCACGATTTTGAAATTAATCCACAGAATCTAATGACAGGACAACCTAAAACATTAACATAAATAAAGAAAACAACAATTGCGAAGTTTGTCAGAGGTACCTTTTCAAATATGATTGAGCCCCAACGCAGTTTTTGTCTTTAATATGTTCATTCTGTAGCTATAACTATTTTCATATTTTCTTCATATATAATATATTATTATGCAGTCGCATTTACGCAACTATCGTCTCAACGTAAATAACTATTTTTAATACTTTAATGTTTTAATAAATAAAACATCCTTAAGACTTTGTGGGAAATCTTGGTATTTTCTTGGAAAATTATTCTTTCTAAACTAGTCATAAACCATTAATAATTATTAGTAATATTAAAATTCTATTGGTATTCTATCTTAAATCCTGCGATTTGATTGGCTGAAATACCCGCTATTTGTCAATTCTGCATTGACAGAAACTGGACAAAAGCCGCATGTTTCGTTAGGACCGAAATACTTTATGTATAAATTCTGATCTAAACTAAAAAGATGAGAGATTTACCATCGACCACGAGTTCACTGTATATGCATGGAGTCGAGCGATGAATTGATAGCTTAATGCATGCAACAATCCTCTAGGGTCTATTGAGTCCTAGGAATCCAATTGAAATAGGCCATTTTCACGATGACGGCGTTTGACTACAACTACCAGAATTCATTTCGTTTTTGTTTTCTTATTTAAATTTGCCAATCCCGCTGAGAATTAAAGAACACTAGCCTTAATTTGCACAAGAAAACAACACTCCAAAGGATTCTGGTACGTGTAGTAAAATGACGTCATAGTGCAATTGTCCCATTGAAAATGGAGTGCCCCCTGGACCCCAACCCCTATACCACAATGTTATGCTCTGTGTTTTACCATTCAAACTCCACTATGTGCTCCGTGACATTAAAGCGGCACTCTTCTTTGCCTATTCCATAATGAACTTTAAAATTCTTGCAGCGTATTTTCTCTTCGCGGAAAGTGCAGCAGTAACCATTGTTCTTCAAGTCCGCCTCGGTGATGCCAACAAACAATTTCATTTCCGTGTTGTTCAGAAAGCAAACGACTAGATCTGTCTCTTTAAACCTTCTCTGTACGTACTCAAATGTTTCCTGATGGTGTACTAAACCCTGTTTAGCCGATTTGGATACCACCAGATTGTGCGCATGTGGACCCACGCATTCTCCGCGTTCTTTAATTTTCTTGTGATCCTCGAGTGACAACAGGCTCACCTTACTCGTGGAGGCGAGGTTCTGTAGGCTATTTTTCTGCGCCTGGGCAATGATGTCTTGCTGCCATTTGGAGAAGTCGTTCCCGAGTTTCATTTTGCGCGCGTTTTCCAACTTGTTTGAGAATACGACAGAGAACCGTTCAAGTATTTGTACTAGATCTTCTATTTGGTAGAACTGTGCTTCTTTATATACCTGGGAAGGTAAAGAAGAAAAGCTGAAATGTCAACCACACCATCCTCGGGTCACGGGGCAAACGACAGCAGTCATTAAAGTGAATAAGCGGAATCGTCCCCAATCCTCGTTTAAATGATTTTCGGCAGGGGAAGATGATTGAATGCGAGTCATGCCGTGCTTTGTGGGAAGAGACGCAGATACCTAACCTCGTCCCCAGGGCGCTTTTCCCTGGCTTTGGAGGTGGAGGTGGGTGGAGTGAAGGTGGGTGGGTGAAGTCACTTTTCGTCACCCACTGGCGTCTGCGCCGCCAAAATCTGCCCCGAACTCGCACAATTGAACCTGCTCGCAGGTTAACAGCCTCTCGATCTCCTTATCTTTCCCTCTCTTCTCTGTGTCTAAAAATCTTTACAGAAGATTCTTAAATCAGCTGTGATTTCTCGTCTTGTTCTTTGTTTTTATTTTCCCCTAATATTTCAATTATAGTCTCTATATTCATGACGAAAAGCATGCAAATGTGATCCTTACCTCAAGCGCAACATCAGCCGAAGGCAGCTGGTTTCTGTCTCTAAGAAAATTTAGAATGTACTTGAAATACGTCCCATCGCGGTCAATAAAGTATCGCCCCTCACTATCAGTATCCAGGGTGTGTCTTCCGCTGAACATAGCCGCCAGCATTGAGTCTTTGTTCTTGGTGAGCGTTGACAGCGTGGTTACAAAATTGTATCCTCCAACATTTAGTGGAATCACGCGCGGTAAGTACTGTATCGAGTAAAAGAGGAAGAGATAAAAATACGTTATAGCTTATATGCCTATGTACAGCTGCTAACACCCTTCTTACAAAATCGCGTTTCGCTCTGAAGTTTAAAAAATAATTCAAAACTCATTAATAATTCATAAAGAAAAACAAAATAAATTAATGTTTAATGAGTGTCTTCATATCTGATCAAGACACGGCTAAACTTTACGTCCATTTTTTTAGACCAAAATAACCCGAAATCTAGCTGCAAGAATTAGGTTATCTATTTCAGAGATTGAGAAGCCGTTAAAAAAAAATCGCAGTCGTGTATTTTTTATCAGGTTTAAGAACCAGAAGCGAAGCAAAAAGGCGCACTATAAAGGTGTGAATAAGTACGGAATGAAGCACCTCGGAGTATAACTACTCACTAGAAAGAATGCTAGTCTTTTGTAGGGCTATCCCCAGCAATAAGTAACTGGTAGCCAAACTTAACTAAGGGTAATAAAGTTGGGACCAATAGTTCTCTTAAACTGATTCGTGTCAAAGCACAGGCAGCCCAAGCACACTATGTTTGGGTTCGGGCTTCAGAGGTCATACTAGAATTAGTAGTGTATTATCTGATGCCAGATAAATGCAAAGATCTTAAAGATATGAAGTCTTCTTGTTTGTCTATCTGTACTAGAAGTCTTTAAGATAACGAAGGTCGATATTTCTTGCATTATTACAGGTGATTCGGGCCCTTATCACATGTATTCGAATCTACAACGCTAAGAAAAAAAATCATGATCACGCGAAATATTGATTCAAATAGCTCCCTCACATTTAGTTTTTAGCCACTCCGTGTCTTACGGCCGGTTAAACGCCGTTTAGTCGACTTTCTTTCCATCGAGTATTGTGTTCAGTACTCGATGAAAAAGATGTGGCTTTTTGAATCGCTTTGTTACTATGTTAGTGAGGAAGTTTAAATTCTTAGCAGCTGCTTCGGCCTTTGCAGTTTTACGTACCCTACTAAAGAGACCCAGTTAGGGTCAAATCCGACAAGCGACAAATAGCCTTGTACTAGCGAAATAACGAAGCGCCCACAGCGCGAGATGGTTCAGTAAAGCTCTTACAGCAACGAAAACGAACGCAAAAACAGTGCGTAAAAGACCAACAGAGTTATAGTTTCCTCTTCAATACGCGAAACATCGTGGCTAAGGATATAAGCCTAGGCCCACCCTCCCGGGGTGGAGGGGGGGTTACCCGACCAATATTTGGGTGTAGGTGAGCCGCTGAGGTTATGAAACCCTGACCCTGTTTAGAACAAAAAATTTCTATAATACGTACCCTGTTTAGGACAACACCCTCAATTTTATTACCCTTTTTAGGACAAGGGGCAAAATGCACGCCGTCTTGTTTTAAAGCCATCTTTTGGCAATTGCAATAAACTATTCACGTTAAAGTCATTGCTTTTGTGTACTTGGAGTACAAACAAATTTCATATAGCAAATGAAATCAATTGTAAAAGGCAATACCCTGACGACAGACTCACACTAAATTAAGAGAGGTCAAAAACCATACCCTGTCCAGCGGCACATACCCTTTCTTAGGCCATAGAAGGAAGTGACCCCCCGGCACTCCCTCCGGTCAGAGGGCCTCATCATGACCGTACGTACTACATTACCAAATCAATAGAGAGGTTTTAAAGACGTTTACGTCAAGCGCGAATTTGTACCAAGTGACCAAATTTCCCCTTTACTTGTCGTTTGTGTACATTTATTTCCACACTGAAATAAATTAGTGTCTATAAGAATTGTTTTGAGCTGTTTTTATCTGCTCATTTTCTATTTTGGGAAATTCTCATCTTGAACTGACATTTTCCCTTTTGCCATATATCTGAAGCTTTCTGTAAATATCCTATTTCGTGCTCAGCCACCTAATTCCGCACGTACTAAACGCCGATCTGTTTACCATTTCTTAACAACTATCCCGCAAATTTAATACCATCGGAATTGCAGCTTTCGAAGCCAGAAATTTCTTTTTTGTGCCGTGTATCAGTCAGTATGCCGAAGTTGGCCAAATCGAAGTAACTTGTTCAGGCAACCAATGTATGTGAGAAGCGAGGAGGTAATAAGTGATTTGCAAAAACGATTAAAATATGACATCTAAAAAACTCAGTTCAGTTTCAAAGGAATCATTTGTTACAGTTTTTTATATATTTTTTGTAATATTTTGATATTTTTAATTGGCCTTTGGAGCGGTTCTCTACGTCCTTTTATTTTTTCCGAGAGAGAATAATTCTAGTCTCATATACTCAGTATTGCTGAAGTCTTGGTTGCGGTGCATGGCTAAAGTCCCAATACTGGAAAATTCAGTTCACAAAAACACTACTGTGAAAAGTTTACAAGTGACTGGTGACACCGCGTTATTTGGTCCAAAGAATTAAAGGTTTGAATACTAGAAGTAAAACAAATTCTCCTAGTTACAACAGCAATGAGTTGCGAAAGCCTTGTAGAAACTACATGTATAAAATCTCTGGTACACTGCTAATCATTGAATCTCTCACTATCTGAGTATGTAGTATTGAATTTCCCTTTCACCACCTTATACAAAGAATTAAAGCCGGTTGGCCTGGTGTTTGTAAAAAAAAAGGAGTTAATAAAACAGACAACAACTCACTGCAACAGGCTTCTCGGTTTCACAGTGACCAACCATGTCTCTGCTACTGCTCCTTGTACACGGAATCCCTTGCATCGATTGAGCAAATCAGGAACGTACTAATCAATTTATGTGTAATGCTTGCGTAACCTACAGAACAAAAACACAGAATTAGGTGTCAAACTTAGCGCCCTGAGAACCAATGGGGATTTCCTTCACCCTAACTCCCCCTCCCCTCTACCAACACCACCAGCCCCTTGTAGGGACTATTACGATAAGCAGCATCGAGAAAAGGCTGAATGCATATTTGTCAGTGATTTGTTAACCCTAAATAGTCCATTTTCGAATTACAAATTACTGTTGAATACAGGCATTAACGACGCATTCATACAGGGTTACCCTCGACATAAAGTAAAATATTCACAAATTCCGGCAAGTGAGTGAAATACACAATAGACAGAGTAATAAACAGGTTTTCTTCTCGTTGGAATTGGTGAATATTTTACATTATGTCGAGGCTAAGCCTGTAAAAAACGCGTCTTCAGTTCATTATTCAGCGGTCATAGTGATTTCGAAACTGAACTATCAATACAACTGAGGCCCCAGTTGCTCAAAAGGTGGAGAGCGCTATCCACCGGATAAATCTCTATCCACTGGATAGTGCAATTGGTTTCCCTAATACTTATTCACCGGATAGAGATGTATCCGATGTATAGCACTATCCACCTTTTAAACAACTTGTATTTATAGTTTAAAAATGGTGTCTTATACAAAGGTGCAAATAAGAGTGATATTAGAAAGTTTTAAGCTTCACGTATACGGCAAACGGCAAACGGCAAACGTCAGATTCAAGTTAAGAATTTCTCAAAATAGAAAATAAGCAGATAAAAACAGCTCAAGACAATTCTTATGGAAAAAATTGCCTGAAACTTCTAAAATTATGTGTAGAAATAATGAACTGTAAACGACAAGTAAAGAGGAAACTTGGTCACGTGGTACAAATTCCCGTTTGCCGTAAGACGTTAACGTGATGTTTAGTTTGCTGAATCCTAAGACGGCAAAGACGGTTCCTACATGCAAACTCTCAGTTTCCAGTAAGGCTCATCTCTACCCAGACCACCCCCCCTCCCCCTAGTTAAGGCACGGAGCTTACCTTGAGTCTTGCGCATTTTTAAGCGTGACAAAAAGCAATCCAAATCGACCCGACCTACATTTATGAACGAACGTCAACGCCAGTTCTCGAAACCTTAAATCTCGGTTTTGTAAAAATTCCCGATTCTGTTCGAAAAAAAATAACTCTGACTTTCTACCCCCGTTCCCCTCCAAACTGAAAAACTGTAATTTTACCCCCGATTTTCCGAATCTCCTGAGAATTTAAACCAAGAGAGAATTTCATAATCTGCGTGGATCTGCAAGCAAGCTCAGCTCTCGCAGACCAGGTGTTTACTGTAACTACCCTCACTCGCGATCGTATTCAGGGCAAAGGGTGACTTTTCAATAAAATATATGTACAAATTACTTTAAATGTCCACCTAAAATTTACGGCAACAGAATAAAGTCAATAATTATGATTTTAACACTTGGAAAATTATTATGATTTTAAGCTGCGGAGTCGGTGATGGGTCTGGAAAATGAGAAATACTTAGCGAATGAAACTCAACAAAATTTGGGAATAAAAAACTATTAAACCAAAATCCTTATTTAAATGTTCACGTTTTTGAAAAACAAAATTTCAAAGCTTAGAATTATTCACATTTTCTCAGACAAGAGAGGCTCAGCCAGACTGTTTATTTTTGTGCGGTAATTTTTGTACATGCAAATTTTGCCTCCTGGCTGATTTGACCAAATTTCTCTTTTTTATAGTACGACAACAGCAAATTGTGAAACATGGATTTTGTTCGAATTTTAGAATCTTATTTTTTTGTCAGGAGAATTCGTACATCATTTGGCCCTCGGATGACTTAGAAATAACGATATTATTTTTATTCCACAAAATATTCCGGTCATAGAAAATGCAATGAGAATTCAAATTTGGACGCTGAAAAAAATTAAAATTATATCGGATGTTTCAAACTATTTCGACAGTTTAATTTAAAATTTGTTTTTGGTCCGATCGACTTTCAGAGGAAATTCTGAAAAATCTCCATGAAAACATATATATGGATCCATAGTAATCGCTATGATTTTCTTATGTGTACATGCGAGAGAAATTTGCTTTAAAATAAAGTAAATTAATATTGGATTACCTCAGCGGACAATTTTTGAGTTTTGTCGATCCCTTGCAGCATGGGAAATGTAGGATTATTTTCCCTCTTTGATGTCGATTCCTTTTATTATTCAGCTATTCCTGATGTAGTACGGTTTTGTTATTCAGTCAAGACGGAGTCAAGGGTTTTACATAAGCCGTCAGTCTATTGTCTTTTCACACCAAAACCACAGCACCTGCTAAGCTGTTTTAAAATATCGTGGGAGACTGGTGACAAATTTGGATCCAGCCGGCTTCGCAGTTTATTTCGACCTTATGACCTCAGTTGTTTTGCAGTCAGTTAAGTCCCAAAAAATGTCACTCTTTCCCTGACTCATGTTACTGACTAGCAAGGAAAAACACTTCTATACAAAAGTAATTGTCCAAAGCACTCGGTTTTGAACTTGTCAAGATCGCTTCACGTATCTTGACACGGAACTAAATTTGTTAGGGCGAGTTTTGTGTCTTTTATTCCCACTCCGTAAGGCTTCTAAGAGAGGGTGTCTGTTTGCTATAATGGTAATTTCTTCGACGCTTAAATGCATTAAAACACTTAAACAAACGTTTTTTCAAAGAATGTGAAAAGCAAGAAAAGGAGGGCTTTTTTAAAATTACGACTATAATCGGTTCCCTTTAATAAAGATATTAAACTGGGAAAGAGACAATCTCAAAGGAAGACACCGAAATACCGGCGGAGACATCCCAACAATGAATCGAGACAGCAGATTGGAGCTCTAAAGATTATTCCTCCCCAGCTGAGCGCGCGCGCGCAAGGAGTGATGCGGTTTTCCTCTCCCCCCATCACGCCTCGCGCTCTCTTCGGTCACGCTTCTTGAGTTCCGTCCCCTGCGTGACAACTGCGTGACAACTCGCGTGCGATCCAAATAGCTGAGAGACGACTGGGGACGAATGCGGGTCCAGTCTTTGCCATTTTTTCCTCCATTTGCCAAGACGTTACCCAAAATCCATCCGATCAGGATTCAGCGACGGGACGAAAACTAACGGCGATGGTTTGTCGCCTGATTTTGTTCTGGTTCAATATATGACATGATGGGGTGAAACGCTTTTTCGACTGCGCTTTGATCGCGTAATTTTCAAAATGAAGAACTGGAGATGGAGATGGAATTTGATGAAAACTTTTTTATTGCCTGTTCTAATGGTAAATGGGAAAATGGGGACTAGTTGACTGAGTCGTAGTCTAGTTTATTCTTTAAAAAGACAGTATAAATTAACGAAGAGGTGTAACTAAAAACTATTCGTTCAAATTAATAAATTACTAACCATAACTTTATTCCGAACCCTTATGTCAAAAAAACTTTTTTGGAAGGTTAGATTTGCCCCACAAATTTGCAATTAACCGAAAGGCTTGAAAATCGCTTTGCGTATTCGAATGGGCGTCCCATTCTAGAATCCTACCGAATGTCTACAACAGTGCGTGTCCGAAAACTCTGAATTCCTTTCAGCTCCCTAACTAGCTGATGTCGAGTAACATATTGCCTACTGAAATATCATGTTTGATTTCCCACTAGTTAAATTCAACCATGACTGATAGAATTGGGAGGGTCGCTCCATCAGACAAGAGAAAACAATTTTCCAGTATTGTGGATCAGATTGTAACAAGCCGAAGTTAAAAATCCTTCCCAATAAAACTTTGCCTTTAAAATATAAAACCATGTAAGGTACATGTACAGTTACCTCTTTCTGAGACAGAGATGTCCGTGTTATTGAGAGTAAACTAATGGGAATAAAGAAAGGCAGGTGTACCCTAGATGTACGTTTTAGCCGAGCTGTCCGTCTTAAAGAGGTGTTCGTTAGAGTGTTTTCGCTCATAATCTGTATCGAGTACATCGAGTGTGTGATATAAACCTGTTGAAGTAAACAGGAAAAAAGTAATTTCCATTCTCCTAGCTGAATTTACTTATCCCCGCAAAAAAATAACCCTGGTCGTTTAATCTAAGTAAACCCAAGCGTCCTATATATATGAGTGAGTCGAAGTTCATTGATATCAGCAGCGCAGCAGTAAGAAATTACAACAGGGGCGGATCCAGGATTTTTTTTTTTTCATTGATAGTTTTTCAGAATACCAGCGCAGGCGGCAAGAACCCCCTCCCCTAGATCCGCCCCTGTACGAACATATATATAGTTTGAAATAAAACAAAAGAAAGTTGTCTACCTTCGGTCCTATTCAGTCCAGCTTGCTTTCTAGTGAGGTATACTATATTTCTAGTTTTCTTCACCTATAATATAGCTTATACTTAATTCCCTTAGGCCAGTTGCGACTTGAATTTCAAACACTGACGTTGACCGTTTCTGAAAGCTCTTGATTGGATGTTCAAATTGAAAGGTTGAGAGGCCAAGCTCCAGGAACTAGGAAGTTGTAATAGTTGAAAACCCGATGGTTCGAACTATAACATTAAACGATAAAGAACTTGGCTGTGCAACTGAATTCCTGTACGCATTCTACAGCTGCTTCTAGCACGGCTTAACCTTATTTTCGTCTATTTTTCTTTCACCTAATAATAGTGTCCACTTAAATAAAATTAGGCTGAAAAGTATTGAGTGTACGTGAGAGCAGAAACCTTATTCTTCCTTTCTTTCCGCGAACAAGGAACCCGCAAGCAGGAGTCTTGTGTTTCCTTGGTCCTTACTTCACGTGGACAGAAGCCAATTACTGACGTGGAAAGGTCACGTCCCTTTTTAATAGGGCATGTTCATATAAAAAGACCCTTACACGCTCATCAAGAGACATTTGGCCCAATTTAGAAAAAGAGACAAATTCTTATTTTGTTTATCATTCGATGCAAATTTTTCTTCTTTTTCATTGGCCGAGAGCCAATGGCAGATATTCATTAATTGATAAAACAATTATTGAACTCGGTTATCGCAAATTATTGCAGATCAATTATTTTGATCGGCTCGCCACTGACAAATAACGATATTTTGGGAGATCGCTCGTTCAAACCCCAGCCGGACCAACAATCAGGGTCTTAAAAAAACTGAGGAGAATATGCTGCCTTTGTTGTGACATCTACAAATGGTTAGACATTCTAGTCTTCTCGAATAAGGATGAAAAACCATAGGTCCCGTCTCACAGCTCTTTTCTGATTCGTGTGGGACGTAAAAGAACCCAGACCCCGGTGGAGTGGTACAAACCTTTCATGGTCTGGGTTGGTAATGAAGGGGTTGAAATCACTTGGGACCAAGAGAAATCAGAGAAAGCATCCCCCATACATACCCTATTCCATAGGTAATTCGTCTCGAGTTATTTTAAGACCACAGATCCCAAGAGGAATAATTGTTTTAGTAAAATCCAACTAGCTGGTCAAAAATATTGAGACAAAACAACTTTAGCTAACAAACGCGATTTAGCCGCCATTGTTTTGGTTTTCAAAGCTGGCGCTTTTCGCTACTAGTGGGCTATAACATATAGCCTAGTAGTAGGCTCAACCAATAAGAGTAAATTGTTGGTCTGAAAAGAAAGGTTCCGTGACAAGCCAAAACCGGAAGGAATTATTGTATTCTTGTGTAACATCCTTGTTATTTATTTCCCGCAAATATAAAACGTCCGCTACACAAATACACTTCCAATTCCTTAAGTTAAAATGGCATAGAAGTTTTCGTAATTGTACGCGTTTTCTAAGAAATAATAAGACCACCGCACGTCCACATTTGCGTATTTTTATTATAAAATGATACATTTTTACGCGTTTTGGCTTGAGTGCACACCAAGCAGGCGGTTGTGGAGAATCTTTGGGCCATGGGGAGAAGAGTCTTTTGTTAATGAAGGCCTATCTTTTAGCGTTGGTACGAACAGGGGCTATGAATGTCTCGCCCATGTAAGGTAATCCAGTTTCCAGAATACAGGAAATTTTTGTTTGTGGAATCCGGAATCCTGGGCTTTGGAATCCGAAATACAGCTCAAGGAATCCGGAATCCCAGTAATAATTGGAATCCAGAATCCAAGTTCCACTGATAAAGACTAGATTCCAGTACCTAGAGTCCGGAATCCACAGTATATAATCCAGAATCCAAGACTGTGTTAGATTCCCTTACATGCGGCGAAATGTCCTTAATGCCAAGACCTAACTGACCACCGGGAAGACCGCGCCGTTGAAAACAGACGCATGCGCAGTTGCGCGATACTTTGTTGAGGCCTTTGACGTTTTTTTTAAAGGAACACTGAAGTAAATGACATGTAAAGGTTTTTCGAGTCCGCCCATTTATCGCAAAAAATACTTACAATAAAATTATTAAGAAGTATCCCTTTGAATACAGGAGTCTCTCCTATATCGTCGCCGCTTTAAACGTCACTAGCAGCGAGGAACGAAGAGTGACTACTGCATTCATGGCAGGCTACGAATTTAACCCTATCGCCAACCCCCAAGAAACTATAATCGAAAAATCATTCAAGCATTTGGCGTTACTGATCACCGATAGCAAAACTACAATAGCTCTTAAAATGAGCCAATTCAAAAAGCAAGCCAGTCAGAGTAACCACAGCAGACAGTTCTCGTTATGTGGTGCTCACGCGCTTTCATGTGTTGCGTGGTTGTCGAACTTTTACATTATGCGAAAAGTTGACAAAAAGAGAAAAAAAACATTTAAAGTACTTCAAGTGACCTTACCAATAACAATTAAAAATCAATTTTTCAAAGAAATTCCTCAAGGCAAGTAAAAGCGAACAAAACATAGACGCGACTTACAGTTAAAAATTTGTAATATAGTATAAAATGGGTGTAAAATGATGAAAATTAGGATTTGTTCGAAAAAAAAAAAGAAGACAGAATTGTTTAAACCCTTATTTAAAAATATCATTTCAGTCGTTAGGAACAGCATTAAAAATCAGGCCATAATTTACAGTTTCATTTATGATGTTTAGTAATACATGATAACTTCTTCTATATTTACTGAACTTCAAGGTAGGCATGCATCTAAAAGTAACAGAAAAGAAAAAAAAAGTATTAAAAACCTAAATTAATAAAATGGAGTAAAAAAGTTCTTTCCCGTGCACCCCCTTCCCCCGTCCTTCCTTAACGTTTCCAGTGGTCCGTTCCTTAGGCTGGGAGGCACGAAGGGACATATTTTAGGGACATGCTGTGACAGGGACTGAAATGTTGCAGGGATGTGTGCCCTTATGCTTTCTAATTCAGGTACAGCTGAACCTCTCCACAAAGGCCACATTGGGGACAGAAGAAAGTTGAAGAGAGGGTTAAAGGGGCTGTGTCACGGTAGTCCAGTTCATTTTGTTTAATTTTGCCAATTACTAGCCCTCAATCGCTATGGAAATTAAAATAAGCAAAGAAATTACATGTAAATGACAAAATGAGAGATCCAAGACAAACGAATATGTTTCCTGCGCATTATTTTTGAAGTTGCAAGCAGCAGGGATCAACTTTGAAAAACTGTTAGGCTGAACAGTTTTCAAAAACCCTAATTTCAATCCATTTCAGTCTTCTTCAGTTTTGCCCATCCGTGGAATCTGTTGTTTCTGTTGTGTTATTTTAACCTTCCTTTAATATTTTAAGCGGTTATTTTTAAGTTTCTCTTAATTTATCGGGCATTTTGTTATTACCTAATTTGCCGAGAGTTTCGTGACAGAGCTCCTTTAAACAAGAGTCAATGTATGGACTTTCCGCGAAAAAAAGTGGCCGTTCTAGAGAGGTGACCGTTAGGGAAGGTTTGAAATTAAAACTATTTTGGGGAATATTTGTCCTCGCGATGCTGTATGTAGCAAACAAAACTGAAGAAAAAATATATGAAGACTTACCACAGAGAACAACAGGCCAAGAAAAAGAGCCTTGTCTTCCGCCGAAAGAGACTCTGGAACTGAAAAAATATCGTTCTATGAACATATAGGGTACTTTCCATTGAAGATATAGAGTATATTGTACTTTAATTGTTCACATAGGTTACTTTCGTTTAAAGTTACCGCTTCCAATTGTGAATTTTCCAACAGAACGCAAACTCCAAGCAGAGATCAGTTTGTTTAATGGAAAACGTACCTCGAGAATCAAATCAGCTAACAAGTCCAATTACCGAATCCGTTTTCAGTTTTCCGTGTTTTAAGAGAAAATGCACAAATTTCTTTCTGACCGTTGGAAAGTGAAACATCTTATTAATCCGTTCTGAAGCCAGATGTAAAGGATTTAACGTCAGACGTAACCGCTCAAGTTCGGCGTTCAGCTCAGTTAAACGCTTTACTTCCGCTTATGCAACTGCACCGCCTACCCCCCGCCCAAATTTGAATTATGTCTACAGATATTTCGAGAAAGGTTGTTGGAAAAAATGTGCACGCGACAATCTCGCAAGGTAATATGGGATATGATCAACACTGTTCCTGACACTGTGGCTGTCGAACCTACTTTTGTTGCTTTCCTTTCGGAGCCGACCATTTGACTTTGAATATGGGTGATTTCAGCATCGAAAAAAAATCTCTTGAAGGATGATTTCGAAGGAAAAAAAATTCTTGAAAGGAAATACCAGGGGAAAAAATATCTTTCATGACTTAAAATCCTGGAAAAAAATCTTACACCGTTGTATGTAGGAGAAAAAGAAATTATATCACCACAGGTTTGGGGAAGAAAAATCATTACCCAAACCAAATCACCCATACCCCCTCCAACCCCCCTAAAAAGTCAAATGGTAGGCACTTAGCACTCACAAAGATACGTCTATGGCCTTCCATGCCATTTATTCAAATTACTTTGAAGAACAATGAACTGAATACCACCCACAATACCTTTTGGGATTGTCGTGTGCAGTTTTTACAAGAACCTCTCTCAAAGTAGCTGTATAATATACATAATAAAAACATCGGGGTCGGCTAACTTAAACCTTGATTTAAGAAATCTTTGGATCTACACATTTCTTTCTTAGTGGGTTGTTTTAAGAAGACAAATGCTTTACTAGTCTACACCATATGCTTTCATAAAACTGTTCACGACAAGAGAGAGATCATTCTCTCTTGTTCACGATAAACGGTGTTTACATTAAAGCGTTCGGGCAAACTGAAAATGGCTTAGAACGCGCTTTTGTTAAACACTGGTTAAACTGCGTTTAAATTTAACTGGCCCGTTATGTTTTTAAAACAAAATTCACGTCCTTCTGCCACCGTAGTATTCTTCGGCTTTTACAACCCGCACGTTCGAACGTTTCCATCAGTTCATTAGACGTAAATTCTTCAGATTCTTATCATGCAGGTCCTACACCTTCGAAGAACCCCAAACATCACCCGCCAACTTTATCAAAGAAACGTTCTAGCGGTAAATAGTGGAGAGTGGAGCAGTGTTGAAGAAAGGTGAAGTGCTTTTGTTGACCGTATTTGCTCGAGAGAACGATGCCCTCGTATAAGCTAGTGCCGTATTCAGCAGCTTCTAAACGTCTTGACATGACTAATGCCCTTATTTAGTTGATGTTTATTGGAACATAGACTTTCAAAACGAACTTTTACAATAATAAGCATCTATTTAACGAACCCAAGAGCCTCTAGTCTGAGAAAAATCGAACGATATTCCTGGTCCCAGTAATGGTATAACTGATTTATGGAATAGTAGAACCTCAATACTATATTACGTTATTCCTAAGGTATTGTTTTTGTTTTTGACCACATACCAAGCAAAAACATTAAAAGACAATGAGTGTTATTCGCAAAGCGCTGCACAGAGCAGTTAAAAAAATTATAAGTACTGCTACAAACAAAAACTCTGAAAACTTACATGAAATGGTGACGAAGTCCGGTTCACCAGATATACAGCAGCTGCAAATACCACCGCAGCAACCTCGCCAAGTGTGTGTTATCTCACCGACTTCTTGGGCGGGTTCAGACTGGCTGCCTTCTTTTAAAATCTGGCAAAAAAGAAAACACTAACTCAGCTGACCAACTTACAGCTAACCTGCGAGAAAGCTCTCCTATTTTGGCGAGCCTCGCGAGAACGCTCCGATCCTCTGCCCCTCGCGGCTTCGCAGCTCGCTCGCACGTTCTCGCGAGACTCGCTTCACTCGCCCAAATAGGAGAGCTTGCTCGCAGGCTAACAGCCTATCTTGTCTTTGTGAGCCATGCATAAATAAAAAAATTACAACTAAATGGCTAGGGGTTTCCTGTTGTTGCGGAAACTGTTGTAGGTTAGTTATTGGCTCCTAGTTTTATCAATAGCTTAGCGTAACCCTCTGCAAGACATTCTTCTGGTCTGGAGGACTCCAAACCGCTGCCCGACTTGAATGTCTTAAATCCTTGAAGAGTTGAGTCCTCACTCGCCAAACATCCGATATTCCACAATCACCGGTAGTAAGCAGTTAGCCTGTGCCGCAGACGAATCTAAACTTTAAGTCCAGCTAGCCTGTGCCAGGCTCTCAGATAGTATAATGCGGATGTATTAAAACGAGCAAAGCAAAAACAAGACGCGCGCGACTTGGGAAAGAAGGCGGTGGCGGCGAGAAAAATGGGAGAGAGCATTTCTTTTTGCTGAACGACTTTTCGCCAATATCTCGGATCCTGGAACAGGCTAAAGTCCAGCCGGAGTTTGTTTACGTCTGCGCAGGCTAGTGAGTAGTACTTCGAATTTCCTTGAGATAAAGAAAATAAACATGGCTGTTTTGTTTCATTGGATATTTGACCTTTTTGACCTTCCGCTATAATTAGTTGCGTCATTTAGGGGTGTGTTGGGGGCGGAATGGAGCAAACAATGGTGTATGGACAGGCGTTATTTTTTCTGCGCCTCCCCCAGTAGCCGGTTGCCCGTGTCTGGCGCCCCCTTCCTCGCTTTGCACTTGCCTTCGCCCGCCTGAAAAACGCGAAAAAATAACGCCTGTCCCAGTCCCAGTCTCCCAAACCGACTCCAAGATCCTCAATATTCTTGGCTCCAGGCCTCACACCAACTGTAAATTACATTCAAAATGGACGCCCGCGATAGCAATAACAGACTCAGTAAGTAACCTAAGTTATTTAAAATAACATATTCTTATAGGATATAATAGTACCCTACGGCTTGGCATTAGATCTGTCAATCTTAGCTAACAACGTGAAAGTGACTAGATTTAAACATAGCATTCAAATTTATAGCCTGTGAACAGGCCTTTTTTCCCCAAACAGAGAGCCTGTTCACAGGCTACATTCAAATCAAGATGGATAACATAAGCTTACATGTAGTTTACACGCTTTTAATTTATTAAGTCCTTGTTACTCCCCCAGCAAGAACTGCATTAGTGTTGATCTTCTGCTGTAGATATTATTATATGGTACCCCACCATAAATCTCCAAAAATATAAATCAAGAAACTCATTGTTTTACCTTAAAGACAGCAACACTGTCCCTTGTGCATTCCCAGGGGTACCCCGCGGGACCTTCCACCTTGTAGACCAGATTTCCTTCGTAGTTATAAACTTCAAAGTAGTATGAAGGTCCAAGCCAACTACCACAGGTCTCTCTTCCACTGTTAAATGTAAAATCATTTTGTTAATCATTTACATACTAACGGGGAGAGGGGAGGCACAGCTATGTGAAAGTGTAAGGGATCACAAAATTCAAAATTAAACCTCAACACCTATCTGGGTATGGTTCAAAGCTTTAATATTAAAAAAAAAAACTTTAAAAGACGCCATAATAATAGCTTCAGTGATGTTCATGTAAATATTGCAAGAAAGATGGGTAAAAATTGGCCTTATTTTTGTTGTGTAATAGGTTGCAACCACCAGTTGACACAGTATGACAGGCACCCAGCTGAGGAGAAGGGTGGTGGGAGGGAGGGGGAGTATTTGTATAAATTTTGGACAGGTTTGTGTCATCCCGGGACCCTAACCCTGTCAGATCCTGTTTATAATTACTTAAAGGATGAGACAAATGAAAATTGATACCCACATGAGTGAAAATATTGGCATTTCACCCTTAAAATTCTATATTCAACTCCCAACAACCTGAACTCTCTCGTTTACTCAAACCTCATGTTAACTTGAACCAAAATCGATTTCTACTGGATAATTCCCTCATACATTTACTGTTCAGTAATTTTACCCTCAGTAACTCAAAGTAATTTTTTCCCTTCTGATCAATATTTCTGTATAATTTTGCTCTTGATAACTCAAACTGTGTTTAAAGCGTGTAACAAGTCAAAAAAACAAAAAAACCAACAAAGTTCTGTAGTCTGAAACACTGGATTTATTTTAAAACAGCTGTGTATTCTTTTCCTTTACTTTTTTGTCAGTAAAGTTCAAATACAGTGTCCAGCCCTGTATATCAATCAAGCTTTTAATGTTATGTAGCTTAATTCCATAATTTTTGCTGGGTTCAAAATACTGTATCAAAACACAACTGTATGTTCAAGGTTTTAGCCAGAGAGGAGTCCAGCAGTCTTATGGATGCCCATTTTGGGAAGAAATACAAGCAAAATTCACTTAATCTCTTATAATTTTATGGGAAAACATGCCTTCTGGATGGCCAGTTTTCAATGCCTGGCTAAAAGTCTGCTGCCTTTGAAGTGAATTGTGCATGATAATTGCATTCGTCCCCCTTCCCAATTTCTTTACCCCCTATTTTCGGTTATTTACTTCAACAAACCTGATAACTCGAACTCCGGATAACTTGACCTTTTCTGATTTCCTTAGAAGCTTGGAGTTATCAGGAGTACTTAACTGTATTTGATACCAAAACTTATCTGCACTTTTCCATTTGGGATTTTCCCCCAAGATTCAATATAACAACAAATCTCATTAACTGACTTACGCATGTTTGATATGTCCAAGGACTTCACCAGTGGGCATACGGACAGTCATAGCGGGTCCAGCCCAGGGGCAGAAAACAGGACAGCTACAGCTTGCTGGGTGCTCAAGCTCCATAATCCAATTACCCGCAGAGCTGTTGATAACTTTCATGTAAAAAGATCGCCACTGGCCAAGAAGGGCTTGAACAAAACTGTTTAGTGTCTTGACTGCAAGATGACATGAAAGAAAAAAAGATAATAAATTGTGGTCAAAGGGCAAGACAGTCATTGGTGCTTTTTTTAATTACCAGGACATTAAAGTTCTGAGGAGCTCATTTGCCGACTAACCCTCACAGAGGGGTGGGAAGGGGGGGGGAGGGTGACTCCCCTATCAAAATGATCGAGATCTACCTTATACCTTAAAGTGGTATAATTTGTGGTGGACTGGTACCACTTGCCATGCAACACTGGCAAGTGATTTAGTTACTGTTAGAGTTGTCATAATGGAAAGCCATTTTGTGGTAGTGTAACTGGTTTTCCCTAAAGTATTTATATCGATCCAGGCATATCTCATCAATGAAATCAACGACATCAATGTGTAATTGATGGGTAATCAATGGGTAATCGATGAGTAATCAACAGGCCACAAAATTTTTAGTCATGAATTGCATTGATTACTTATCAATATCATTGTGTGGCTGCAAATGACATTTCCATGAGAAAAAAAGAAAAAAGGAATACACGTTGAACGTAACATGAATGACTTTTTCAGATTTTATTAGTTCAAACAACAACATTATCATTGCTAGTAACCGCTGCAGTCGAAGTGGCTGAATCTTCTTTCTGGCACCTGTTGTTAAACCAGACCTTGTCGTAGACTACGCTTGTACTCAGCTGGTTAAGTTTGAAGAATTCTTTGTGAAGGTATTATCAAAAGATAAAGGAATTGCCTTCAGTTCAAAGGCCAAAAAATCGCAACTTGTCCATCTTTTTAATGCCGCTCACCTGAATACCTCTGGTAGACCTAGCTGCGTGAAAGTGAGAGTGCCAGTTGCAACACTGCCATGTACTGCAGCTGCATACTTACAACGGCAGTATATATTCCAAAGTTCCAACAGTTTATCTTTGTAAATACACTGTAAACAGCTGCCGCAGGAAATATCACCCTAAGCTTCTTGATACGCATAAGGCTCAGCATCTTTATAGCAATGTTGTTATCATTAAGCTGTTTAATTTGTTATCATTACAAAATTAATGAACATGTACAACCAAAAATGAAATGTATTAATAAATTGTTGAGAGCTCCACTTTGTTTGCATATGTCCAAGAGGGGATAGCTTATTCAGAGTCTTCTTAGATGAGTCAGTCTTGCCTGTGTTATAACTTCATATGTTAAGGGTAAACATCATTTCAATAAAAATGGGTTTCTCCATATTACTAGCAGAAGCTGGCGGGATATTCGTAATAGATGAGTAATCAATAGGTAATCAATAGGTAATCAATGAGTAACCAATGACATCAATGACTACGATGAGTAATCAATAGGCCATAAAATAGTTTGTCTTCGATTAGTCATCGATTATTCATTGATCATCAGCAATAATTAATGACTAACCAGCTGATTACTCATTGATTACCCATTGATTACTTATTGATGTCATTGATCATCAATGAGATATGTCTGGTTATATATAGAATCTGAAAAAAAAATGCTACACTGGCAGCCATAAAAAGGCCATCCAATATTCCAACTGTACTTACAGACAGTCATTTGCATGTATCTTTATTATGCCTTTTGGAATTATTGCGGAAATTGACAAAGTTTCGTAATTATTTTTTAGGCAATTATGAAAAAAAAAATTTAAAAAATGGAGTGTCAATATAGTTAAAAAGAAAGTACTAATGAGGAAAGTATTTTTTAGTCGCCTTAAATGGAGTCAGGCGGCCATTTTATGTGGTCCTTTCTCATGAGATCCTTGAATCAAACCCAGCGTGCAAAGAAAATCATTTTTACAGCTTGCCCTTCGAGCAAGCTGAAGCTAGCAGTTACTAGCCCAAACGTCATTTCCGCTAGCCCCAAAAGCTTTTTGACGAGCAGAATTGATTTCACAGTTCTTCTGTTATTCGAATTCCTCAAAAAAACATCACTTGCCCGTCGGGCAGGTTAAAAACAGAATTAACTAGCCCGATAACAAAATCCACTAGCCCCGGGCTGTCGGACACTTAACTTTCTTTGCATGCTGAAACCTGCAATCTCCTGCATAGCCTGTTCCGGGCTCCGAGATAGTTGGGCCCACTGAATTGAGAGAGTGTGAAGACGAAAGTAAAACGGGAGGAAACTGGGGAGAGAAGGGGCGGCGGGGCCTGTAATCATTTCTTTAAACAACCCGTTCCGGTGTACCAGCTCATGGTATACCCTCTGATTGGTCAGATTTGACAGATTATATCAACACTCTCAAAGCGGGTTGTTCCTGTCACTCAGAAAGATGTCATGCGGAGTCCACGCGCGTGAAATAGAGAAATACACGATAATTTCTGTGTTGAATGAATGTTTACGAGATTTCCCTCACATAGGAGCGCTGAGGAAGGAACAGAAGACCTGCCTTGTGAACTTGGCGCGAGGAAAAAATGTTTTTGGAATCCTGCCCACGCGCTTCGGTCTTGCCTGATAACAAAGTGGCAATAACAGAACAGTTGCAAGAAGGAGTCATCTTCGTGCTCCAGTCCAGACTCCATTATCTAAGGATTTCTTTACAAAAACAAGCTTGCGTGTTAAAAAAATCATTGCTTAAAGAGCAATCTTGACTGACTCACAACGTAGTTCTCCATATTTTAAAGTAGCTTCAGTTTAAGCTGCAATCCATTCTTTGAAATTTGGATCTGCGAATCACTGACCGTGAGAATTTAAATAACATCCTGCAAAAACACTAACGAACTGGGCCCAGCGTGACAAAACTCATTGAAGGAAGCCATCACAATCACGCACAAAAGAAAATCGCTTTCAGTTATTCAGGTCAAGGAGGGACTTTACAGAAAATTAAAACAACCTAAAACTCTTCTTTATCTGCAAATGAAGAACTTTACGTTTTAAAAGAGGTCAAAGAAAATGCTTTTGCATCAGAGGGCAAATCATCAATCATGCCAACCAGAAACAATTACCGCAGAAAATCAATATGCGTGTCACGACCTCTCAACATGAAACAAGTGACAACATAGTTTGCTCAGTCAAAATGTAGACCCCTCTAGAGCATAATTTACCCGTAAGAGAAAATATTAATTGGAACGAGCAGCATTTTGGCACGAGGTAAAAGTTGTGTTTTGCCTACCGACCCACCTTTTACACTCCAAATTGCTCATGCTCACATAAGGGATTAGCCCTGCATGAAATAATCTCACGAGAAATTTGAGAAAGATTCCAGCTCATTGACATTTCAACAGTTTGACAGGCGGAATCTAATTATCTCAAACGTGCCGAAAGTGGGCAGAATTAGAGGGTCATAAAAGAAATGATTACAGGCTCTCTCTCCCTTCCGTTTCCTCTTTTTTGCCCTGCTAACTTTTCACGTGCCTTTTACTTTCACGTCTTCCCCACTATCTGAGAGCCTGGAACAGGCACAGGCAGGCTCCTGTAACAGGGCTGTCAATATGATATTAAGTTGCCGGGTAAATACAACAAGTAGGCGGGGAATCAACAAGCCAGGGATTTCTTTGGGCTTTATTTTTCTTCTACTTTCCCACGAAAGTTGCCAGGGGCAACGTTCTTAGTAGCTGGGGGAAATCCCAGCCCCTGCCTCTTAATGACAGCCTTGAATAATATCTTCTCAATGAAATAAATCAAATGAAAAATCAAAATACATGTACACGTCAGGGACCGCGGAGGGGGAGGGGCTGGTAGGGCCGCGGCCCCATCACTTTTTTGCGCCCCCGCCCCCGCCCCCACTTTTTGAAAATCAAATACTATGATTTTATTCCTTTTTTCGATTTTCAATATGAAAAATATTATTTCAATTGTCAGCCCTCCCACTTTTCACCTTGCTCCATGGCCCCTGCACGTGGATCCCTCTAATACAGTGTAATCAGCCCTTCTGTTGATAAAGATCTGCCAATTTCAGACTTAACTGTTCAGTAAAAGTTTGCAATTTACATTACAGTTACAGTCAGATTATAAGCAAGTCACTACATTAAATACATGTACTGATTGGCTGAGATAATGCAAAGTTTTAACTTACTTTCTTTCACATTAAACAGTTGATTCCCTGCACCATCATCAACAATAAATTCCATGTTACTCCACCAGGCTAGAGAATGTATAAGAAACAATTAACAGCTCAGTGAAAATTCATCATAAAATTTCCTACTAGGGCTGATTCTAGGTGAACTACATGACATGTATGTAACATATAGATTTAGCCAGGGCTAAAAGCGAAGCTCTCGTTAATATCTATAGCTGAATGGAACAAAATATAATATTGTCTAATGCTAAGTAGCGCTGGCAACAAACACAGCAAAAAGAAATCAGTAGGTCTAATCAGCGAAAAAAAAAACAACTTTGGACATGCCAGCACACTTTTTTTGTACATTTCTTTGCTGTTGTTTTAATTTGCACGACTACAACGTGAAACTTCCAGAAACTTCCTAGTTACACGTTTTATGGAGGAAATGTTGTATGTGTTCCTGTTCACTTTTTATTTTCACTGCCACTCATTTTCCCCTTGGAGGCCGCTAGCATTTCTCATTTTCTCACCGCCGATATAAAATTTTCAAAGTTATTACGATCTTCTAACAAAATTGGTCTCCTTTGTTTTTTATCTCTAGCTCTTGCTCTGTTATCCCCATCATGTAGAAATTAAAATTAATATAAAGTCGAAAGAAAGAATCAGCGTTGTTGTTGCTTTTTTTTAATATCTAAAAGTCTGGGTGGCTATGTGATTTACCGCCAAAACGCACAGGTACTTGAAATGCAAAATTTCAACCCAGCTTACATGAAGCGGTTGACGTACATACGGACGATTTTCTCAGAACCACAATTTCTTGGATGCATAGATAACCAAATATTCTTACCCATGGTGCTCCACTGCAGAGCTCCACTATAATTTGACCTTTCTTATAGACTCTCACATTAGGTTGGGTCTGCTTAGTATTGTAGTGAGAAGCAGTGTCAAAAAAGACAATTGCAGTCATAATAATAATTTATTTATTACGTGCAAAATAGCATTCAAATATACAGTGAGGAGCAAGGGTGCTTGAATCACAGTTCTTGATTTTGGTGATTTCTCTGCTATTAGCAAGGTCCCCCAGAAAATTTAAAGATAAGGGAGAAAAATGGATTAATGGGGGTAAGTATTGTCCCTCTTCCATCAGAAATGTCTGGGGCCTTTCCTTGGGAAAATTTTGAATTTGCGAGACCTGAAAAATAGATTTCAGTGCACCTTCATTGACTAGGGAGAAACATAGTATGGCTTTATTTTACATCAAAATTATTATGTATTCCAAACATAAATCTGTCACAAACATGACAGATTTTTCAAAAAGATATATTTTTTTCTGAGTTGTAGGCACAACAGAGGGAAATTTAAAAAAACCCTTCATTTCTCATGACAGATACTGTAGAATCATGGTCTTGAACCCCGGCCCTAAACCCTTAACCCTCCCCATTACAGGCCTGTCTACATGTATTAGGAAAGAAAAGCTTTAATTTTAGATTTAAGCTCCCCACCCCAGGCTATACTATATTTATGTTCTAACTGAAGTTAGTTTCTTGAAGAGATAAAGTTTGTTTTGATATCAACTTGTTTTGAAAAATAAGCCCAGCCTAAATCCCTATAGACAACATCCAAAGAAATATTCAGAGCTGATAGGTCGTGGCAAAGGTGTATGGTCACGTCTATAAAACTTCATCTCCAAAGAAAAATTTTGTTTCATGTTTAAACATGTGCAGCACTTCTTTGATTTGCATTGTCGGCTGATGACCAAAGTTGGCAGAAGGGGGCATTTTGACCCTCCAGAACCCTTGATTAATTTAAACAACATAGAAAATGTTGGGTGGTCGAACTGACGGAATATTAAGCGTGGCAAATTTGATATATAAACCTAATTTACGTTTACAGAAAATTCGACCTAATATTCAGAATATTGTATTAACATTGAGTGGCAATTTAAGTGGCGGTTAAAGGAAAAAACAACAATGTTGTTCGAGGGTTAGGAAAAAAGTGTCGACAGCCAGAACAAACCGATATCCAAAAATGATTCGGTGATCATGAAGGTTAACCAAATTGAGGTAGTTAACTCCTACTTAAAAACCCCGTTAAAAACCAACCCCATAAGCATGGTATCGTGCGACAGTTTGCTAAAAAATTGCACGGGGCAGAGTTCTAAGTCCAACTGATGGCTCGATTTGATCCTTGTTGAATTATTATTATTGATGCGTGATTTTTTGTTGCAAATTAAAGGAAGCATGTTTTAGTTAAGTTTTCGCGTGGATGAAATCTCTACTTGGGCGGTCCTTAGTCGTGGATAGCGTCCGTAATCTGAGATTTTTAATTTCATCGTTGCTTTCACGCGATAGTTGTTTCCCGGAAATTTCAAGACTTAATCTGGACCTGAAAATATTTCGATCGCTTTTAACTACTGTTCATAAACCGCGTTCCTATTCAATGCAATTACCCAAGAACCTGAGAAAGCCATGTTCAAACGCTCTAACCGCTCGTTCCCTTTAGTAGGTCTTAGTAGCTACGATCAGCAGACTAGCTACGACAGCATGCTGAGTTCTCGCAAGTTGGTGGATACAAAACACAGTTTGAACGATCCAATAAACATTCAATATGTTAGCAAGCTATAAATAAGAATCCTTATAACCAGTTTCGTGCTTTTTGAAAAGTTAACAGGACAAAACAATTGCACAATCAGCATATTCGACTATACCTTCGTCCTCTCCAACAACCTGATGGGCCACAAGCTTACTGACTCCTTGGAAAACCTCCAAGCCCATAGGAATCGGTACCTCGTTAGGTCTTGCCTTCTTTTCTTGAAGAAACACGTCTTCTTCTCCAGCATATGGTCCATCATAGCCCCCAAGGTACTGAACAGAACCAGAAGTTCCTGAAGTTTGGCTACGTAAACCAGGTTGTCGTATAACAGTGGCCATTTTTGATGTAATGCGATGCTAAAACTTCAACTTCTTCCGTTCACTTGATATCTCCCGTCACGAAATAAAGATATTAAATCCGATGTTGCAGCTCTAGAAGTCGGGACTGGTGGGTCGTTCTTGCAAATGACGCTGACCTTCTCCTCAAATATGCATTTCAATTAGTAAATTCTAAGGAGTCGTTGTTTTAGGATCAAAACCTCCGCTCATGAAATCTGCAAGTCAATTAGTGTGTCACGCTTTCATGCGTGACCGAGTTGGCCTCAGGATAGGAATGCATGGAATGAATAGAGCGTCATGAATTTCATCTGAAGGTGTTCACATGACAAACCTTGCTTCATACCGGTGGGAACCGACGCCCGAGCGGGGAATAGTACTCCCAATACAATATACGGTCACCAATACCCTGGGTACCAGAGGTTTTTTCTCGTGTGCCACGAAGAGCTTCGTCGGCCACAGGCGCTAGGCCGACACATCTTGACCGAAACCGGAAACCGCGCATGAAAAGCCTCTGGCAGGCAGGGTAGGTCACCAATGGGTCCAAAAATTTGGCCGTATAGAAAAAACGGGGTGGCCGTATTACCGGGGCGGGGTCAATTTTCATGACTTAAGGGTACAAAATACACCATAAATCACATTCGCTCTTCGCTTCTTGAACGACAACCGAATGAAGACATTGTGTACAGTTATTATAAAAACTACTGTAAATGTTCCTTTCCTTTCCTTGGAAATTGGTCATTACACTGTCAAGACACGTTTTAAAATTGTATTGTAGTCTAAAAACAATGAAAGAACAGGCTTAGCTAACTAGGTCAATGGAATTGACAAGCCAAGCATTTTAATTTTCTAATTTCGAATGGGTGGTTGTATAAACGGGGGAAATTATAAAAGACTGTTAGGGATTTTAGAATGTGGCCGTGGGTCGTATTAACGTACGGGTGACCGCATTAACGTGGAAGTTTTATAAGAAAATTTATGGCCGTTTTGCCTGGCCAAGAAAAAGTGACCGTATTACCGTAGTGGCCGTAAGATAGGGTTCCGCTGTAATTGATCATAATAGCCTTTACGGGGTGGCAAAAACGAGAGGTCCAAGGACTACTGCAAAGCTGATTCAGAACCCATCTAAATAATATTGTGATTCCTACATAAGTTCAGTAACATCTGTAAACCACCTGAAGAAGGCTGGTACGGCCAGCCGAAATATTGTTATGAAAAAAACAATACACGTCGTTCTGAATCAGCTTTGCAGTAGTCTTTGGACTTCTCGTTTTTGGTTCTTTATGTTTTGGCTGATTAAATCTCTTTTCTAGAGATCCAACGTTTGCAACTACAGGGCCCGCGGAACAGTTTTTAAAGTGCGGGGGCCGGTGACCACCTCTTTTGAGGTGGGGGATGGGGGGGCTGTTCTCTCTTTGTTGCTGTTTAGAACTGTCATATTACTGAACCTTTCTTTAGTATTGTTGAGCGGAGTCATGTTTAAAAATTTCAAGCCGCTGAAAAGTACCTTTCTCCTGCTGAGCCTGATTGCGCATGCAGGATCCACTAGTAGAAGTCTGCACTGTAGGTTCCAGTAACCCCTCCATTTTGTTTATGATGTCATCGAAATGCGTCAGAGACCACATCATCAGCCGATGTAATTCGTTTTAAGAAACCGTAGTTCGTGGAGTAGTCTTCAGATTTAATCGAGAACCTTCATAAAAAAAAGACTCTATTCCGCATCGTTGCAAATGCTACATAACCTTGCCGGTTTCAAAACGCAGAAGTCTAGGACTAGTGCAGTTTTGTGAACACAGGCGTTTCGAGGCTTACTACCGTGGCATCAGACTGATGGGATCGAAACAGACCAATAATATTGAATTTAGATGCTGGAAGATTCTTATTCCAACAAAGATACTATTTATGTGAAAATGTATATTACAGTGGAACCTCTATAACGAAGTCCTCGGTCAAACGAACTATTTTTTTTCGACTCCAGTAATAATAAAATTTAGGGTGATCCCGCACCTATTTCAAAGACTGTTTTTGATTAACTGGGAAAATCGTAGGGTTTGTCACATAACAATGCCCCTATCCCTGAAAACAGTGGAAGTGCAGATTAAAGGGACCACTGAAATAGGAGGTTTAGAACGGTGCAGTTCTACTGAAAATTTAAGGCAATATGAAAAATGTCATTTCTGACGAATGAGCCAGCGAAGAAGGTAGAAATAAATATTTTGACGGCACGAGAACAGGGCTTTGGTACTAGGCCGGGGCACCATGGGTAGTCATACCAGAGGCTGTGTATATCACGTGTATATTACGTCATCTAGGCTTCTGAACCAATCTCTCTTTGGTTTTTCTTATTTTTTTGTTTTATTTAATTTTTAAGGAGCAACCTATTCTCGAATACATTGTAAAGTTCCGTAGGAAGGGCTTTGATCTTGAGCCTTGGTTTCTACCCAGATTTCCTGCCTGCATTTTTTCCCTTCGGGGTTTTTTGGGGCAGGTTTTTTCTGGCCTCCGTTTTACCGCATTTATTTCAGTTTGTAAGCGGTAGCTCAGCTCTGCTAGTTTTCAGGTTTTTTCCTGTTTCTTATTTTATGTACTTGTACAGTTATCACAGTTTTGCACCTGCTCCTTTTCTTTACTTAATATATTTAGTTTCTAGATGTGTGTTTAGGTTAGCTGTCCCGGAACTGCTCTTTAGGCGGCGACATAAGTCTGGTTTTACAAAGTTAGATTGCAGGCAAGGTTATAGACCTCTAGCCAGGTCCTCATCTATTTGTTTACCCTAAATGTCCTGCCCTAGCCTTTTCTGGCAGCCTTTCTGGCAATTGGGCTACGTACCTCGTTGGGTACATTAAGATAATTCCCAGTGCTCAACCTCTGTGCTCCTGCATGTTCCACGTCCCAATAAATCCGTTGATCAGAGTTTTATTATAGTTTTGCCAGCTTAACTGGCGGCCTAACTGACACTAAACCTGCGTGCTTAATTGGGGGATTCAGGTCGAGATCGACCAGTTGTAGCAGTTCTTTCTTTTTGTTAAATCTAGTTTACTAGTGTTGTACATTAGTGATTCACCTATTGCTGTATTTACGTACGTACTTTGTACGGTTGGTTCTCGCCAAGCCGTCCCAAAATTAACTTATTTGCCTTTACATTTTGTCTGTCGCTGTTGTGTAGTGGAGTCAAAATAGAACCTCGATATAAGTTTAAAAAACCTCGTTATTACAGTGCATTTATGGCACTAAAAAGGGATGTAGTATTCTAAACTGGGTACGTGAAAGGGGGCAACATTTGTCAAAAGGTATACGAAAGGAGTACCACTTTCGTTGTACGGGTAAGGGGTTAGACCCTGTCGAGGCGGAGCCTCCCCGGACACTGATTTGGATCAGTTTAGGTCTCTGGGAAACTGCCCACCTACCCCTCACTTAAGCCAATATTAACACTCTAACTTCTCATTTAGGGCAAAACGTTGTCTTAAGGGAGGGGTAGGTGGGCAGTTTCCCAGAAACCTAGACTGATCCAGACTGAGTGCCTTCGGGCAACGGCGCGAGTTCACTCCAGTTCCCTCTCATTTCTCTGTATTCGTTTACACGATACCGCCAAAAAACGTCATAGTGGTGCGAGTCACACCGGCGTGTTTTCATCCCGATTGCTGTACCTAAGCGAGAATTTCCTTTCCGGCGCGATTTCAACGACCCCACAAGCCCTGAGCTTTAACTAATATTGCGTTAACATAAAAGATAGGATGATGATGATGAATAACAACGGTATCCTGTTAACGAATACAGAGCCGTGAGAGGGAACCCGAGTGAAAGTCACCCTGGTGTCACGTAAACACCCCCCGTATTTTCTTGGCATTGAAAAATGGCCCGAGATGGTGCTGGTGACAGGATTTAGAAATCAAATAACAAATGAATTAGTTAATTAATAGATAAAGAAATAAACAGTCCAAAAGCTTTTTTCATCCAACTTGCCAGAGTAAATATTCGCGTGTGTTAGAGCCGCGTTTACGACAAACGGTAAACGTCACGAGATTCATGGTGAGAATTTATGAAATAGAAAATAAGGAGATAAAAAGTGCCCAGAACAATTGTTATGGATAAAACGCCGACATGAAAAACTACATAGTTTTGTATAGAAGTAATAAACAGTAAACGACAATTTAGGTATCCTCCAACGCCGACGTTCTTGGGGGCTCGTCACGCATTCCTGCCACTTCTGCATGGGAGGCTACTTTAAGGAAAACTTGGTCACGTGGTACAAATTCTGGGGTAAACGTGACTCATAAAAAATGATAAATAAAATGACATAAAATAATTTCAAAAAAATTGCGAGATTGATCATCAAATCTACGAGAAATGCAGAAGGAAGAATGAAAAATGAAGAAAACAAAATCGATATTCCGTCCACTGTGCATGCATTAAATGCGAAAAGGCAAATTATTTTTCCCACTGGACGTCGTCTGCACATTTCCGCCATGGTCGAGTTGCCTTTTTTCTGTATGGTGTTTTATTGAAAAGCGCATTTCTCTAAGCCACTGAGTGCTGAAGATTTAAATCCTATTAAGCGGGAAACTCTCAATGCGTGTATTGTCATAGGTTTTATCAGGGAGCAAAAAAAGTAAGCAAGAGCTGGGAAGTCGTACAAAGAGAACATTCTTCCAAGATAGTTTGTTGACGCCATTTTGCCATCAGTGACTTTTTTTTTCTGAGAGAGACTTGTATGATTTCTCTTTCTTTTCTTCCTTGAAAAGCTATATCAAACACCGTGGAGTGTTTCTAAAATCTGATATTCAAACACTTCGAAATAATATTTTAAAACCCACTTCTTGATGTTTGGATGAAAGATAAAAAAAAACACTGCATCAAATTATGAACAAATGTAGTTGGCGCACTTGTCTAAAACGAAGGCTTTAATCAACCATTTCATTCATTTACCACACAACTCTGTTTAAACGCCATATAGCCTGTTCACAGACCCTCTATTTTCTTTTCAAAGTCCGTCAAGCGCGCGTGATAAAAAATAAACCGCGCACGCCGATGTTTTCCAAAAGAACGAAAAGAAAAATAAAACAACGTCTGTATACAGGCTAAACGCCATATAGATCCCCCACCCCCGAATCAACTTCTAGTTGAAGTTTTTTGCGGGAGGTAGCCTGTTCCAAGCGTTCAGATAGTGGAGAGCGGTGCGAAGTACAGAGAGCGATGAAAAGTAGAGCGGAACTGGGG